TGTTATTAGTGTAATGATAGCCTCATAGAATGAGCTAGGAAATAATCCTGCTGCTTCCATCTTGTGGAAGAAATTGTAGGAAACTGGTATAATTTTCTCTTTAAATGTTTGGTAGTATTCCTCAATTAACCCATATGGGTCTATTACATTCTGTTTTGGAAAGTTATTAATGATTCAGTTTCTCCAGTAGATATGGTCCCATTCAGACTGTCTACTGTACAAGTTTGGACAGATTGTGACTTTAAGGGAATTGGTCCATTTCATCTAGGTTATCAAATTTCAGGTCATAAAATTGTTCATTAATTCCTTAATTTTCCTCTTAATGTTCATAAGATCTGTAGTGATGTCTCCTCTTTCATTTCTGATATAGTAATTTGTTGTGTTTTCTTGTTTCTTAGTCTGCTAAAGTCTTACTGATTTTATCTTTTCAAAAAGCTATCTTTGTTTTATTGATTTTTCCCCCTCTATTGATTTTGTTTCAATTTCATCTCTCATTTTTAATTGCTTTTCTTCTACCTAATTTTGACTGATTAAACTACAGAATTGTATAATTGTTGAGTTGTAGAACTTCTTTCTATACTTGAATTTTAGCCTCTTATCAGATATGATTAACATCTTTTTTTTTTTTTTTTGGTACTGGGGATCAAACTAGGGTCCTTGTGCTTCTGAGGCAAGTGGCAGAACCACTGAGCTAAATCCCTGGCCCAACATCTATTTTTAATCTAGAGGTGAAAGTTACTTGTAACTCTTTCCTTTTCCTGAACAATACAAGATCTTTAGAGCTCTTAAGTTCTGATTCCTATCTATATGATTTACAAGTTAGTGTTGTCCAGTGTTTTGGTTCCATTTTGATTTTATCCCATACCTTATAGCCCCATTAATTTTTATTTTTTAACTGTGCCAGTGTTTACTTGGGTTAATTTATTTGCTTACCATTCCTTCTTGAACCTCTGCTTTCTTTAAAGGATCAATTTTTGTCTTTTTTTGGTGGTGCTATACTGAGGATTGAACCCAGGGGTGCCTTCTCACTAGCTACATTTTCAGCTCCTTTGGTTTTTTATTTTAAGACAGGGTCTTTTGAAGTCACAAAGTTATGCAGGCTGATTTTAAACTTGCAGTCCTCCTGCTTCAGCCTTCCAGAGTGCTGGGATAACGGACTTATGTCACCATGCCCAGCTATTTTTGCCTTCTGAATTATGACCTACTAAAGGAATTACTAAAGTTCTTTGTTTTTGTTTGTTTGTTTTTGTTTTTTGTACCGGGACCAAACTTGGGACCTTGCGCTTGTGAGGCAGGCAGTGGAACCACCGAATTAAATCCCTGGCTAGTTATTTGCTTTTTTTTTTTTTTTTTTTAAGCAGAAGACGGCATACGAGATCCTGGGAAATCACTGAAGATCAGACGTGTGCTTTTCCGATCTCTCTCTTTTTTTTTTTTTTTGATACTGGGGATTGAACTCAGGACCTTGCGCTTTTGAGGGAGGTGGCGGCACCACTGAGCTAAATTCCCGGCCCATTAAAGTTCTATTAGTGAGGGTTTGTCAATACATTATGAGGTTTTTATTTTCCTTTTTATTTGTTCTGAAAGTATTTCTAGTATCAGAATATGTTCTATATTGGTGAGTGTTCCATGTAAGCTTGAGAAGAATGTGTCATTTTGTGTTGTTAGTTAAAGTAGTCTATATATGCCCCAAATATCCAATTCATTGCAAGTGCTGATGAGTTAACCATTTAAGTTAAATTAGCTATTAATTTTCCTAGTTTAGTTTGGTATATAGTTCTAGATTAACTGTTACTTTCTCTTAGAACTTTACAGATATTATCATGTCTTTTATCTTCTACTTGCTGCCTACTTAAAAGTTTCTGCTGAGAAGAGGTTCATTTGGTATAGTTTGAATGTTTGTGATCTCCTCCAAAATTCACGTTGAAACTAAATCCCCTGTGCAACAGAATTAAGAGGTGGGTCCTTTAGGAGGTGATTAGGCCATTAAGAGCAGAGGCCTCATGGATGGGATTAGTGCCCTTACAGGAGGGCTTGAGGGCAAGAATTCCCTTCTGCTATGTATAGGGTACAAGTATTTAAGGAACCATCAGTTAGATATTTTGTTACAGCAGCACAAGCAGACTGAGACAATATTTTTATAAGATCTCCATGTGGTATTCTTCTGTATCCTTATGATGCATTTAGGTACAGATTTAATATTCTTCTGTTTGGGAATTTGCTTCCCACATATATCTTTCACCAGCTCTTGAAAATTCTTCACTAATATCTCCTCAAATATGGTATGTTTCCATTCTTTGTTTCATCCTTTTGGGCTGCCTGTTAAGCTTCCTCGTTTTGAACTTCTTTATTTCCCTTATCTGTCAGTTTTGTTCTCACTTTTTTCATCTTATTAACTCTATGCTGCCTTTTGTAATCTATCATATCTCTTCTTTTTTTAATTTTGGTACCGAGGATCAAACTCAGGACCTTGCACTTCCGAGGCAGGTGGCGGAACCACTTAAATCCCCAGCCCGTTTCTCTTCTTGTCTACTATGAGGTGTGATGAAAAACATACAGTGACAGTTTAATTTTTTTTTTTTTTTTTTGGTACCGGGGATCGAACTCGGGTCCTTGCGCTTGCGCAGCAGGTGGCGAAACCACTGAGCTAAATCCCCAGCCTGACAGTTTAAATTCTAAAAAATGTATTACAGTACAAGACACATTGCCATTAATCCCCCTCAAAGCCGCCCCCCCCCTTCAAACATACTTACTCTGTCATTCTTGTCACTTTGTGAAGCAGTCCGGAAGTCCTCTTTTGTGAGAGTTGTTACAAGGTGTGATCAAAAATAGGTTAGTGCATTTGCCAAGTATCATCCAACGGAGAGGCCGGTAAAAAACTAATGTGTGAACAAGGACATTAGTGTGTCCTTGTTCACCTCATTCACTGGACACTAGTGTGTCCTTGTTCACCTCATTCACTGGACCTGGCACTGTGTAACTTCTGACGTTTTTCTAGTATCAAAATGACTATGAAAGCTTAGATGTTTTGAATGAATGAAGACATTGAGGCAGCCATGACAGCACAACTAAAGACATGAATAGGACTTCCAGAACTGCTTCAGAAAGTGGCAAGAATGATGGGATAAGTGTGTTCAAAGAGAAGCCAAGTATTTTGAGGGGATTTATGGGAATGTGTCTTTTGCTGTAAGTTTTAAAAATTTAAACATTTACCATATTTTTTATTACATCTTATATTTTCTCTTTGCATATAATGTGATATTTATGTACTGTTTCTAGTTACTCTATTTGATTGTCAGATCTTCTGATCTTTGTTGATAGCATCTTACTCCTTTTTCTCTTTTTATAACTTCAACACTGGAATATACTTATTTTATGGTTTCTAGTCAGTAATCCTATTAACTTTAGTTCTTATTGGTACTTTGGTCAGTCACACAACAAGGTTATTCTTTATTTAAAAATACATATATTGGGCCGGGGATTTAGCTTAGTGGTTCCGCCACCTGCCCCGCAAGCGCAAGGACCCGACTTCAATCCCCAATACCAAAAAAAAACCCCTCCAAAAACAAAAAAAATACATATATTAACCCAGTCTCTTATTTTTTAAAAATGAGAAAATGAGCCAGGGATTTAGCTCAGTGGCTCCGGCGCCTGCCTCGCAAGCGCAAGGTCCCAAGTTTGATCCCCGGTACCAAAAAAAACCCCCAAAAAAACCAAAAAAAAAAAAATGAGAAAATGACATATGCCTTGGTTACTTTTTCTTGCTGAGACAAAATACCCAACACCTAAAGTTAAAGGGGGAAGGAGGTTTATTGTAGTTCACAGTTTATAGAGATATCAGTCCATAATCAACTGGCTCCAAGGCATGGATATCACCTAGCAGGCACAAGGCAGCAGAAGACAGACAGCAGGAGCAATAAGCGACAAGCAGGGACCCTCTTCTGTCCCTATATCTTTATCCAGGCTACACATCCTTAGGGCTGGTAGCACTCATACCCAGGGTGGAGCATCCTTAATCCTACCTAGAACTATGCCATACCAATTAATGGACTAATTTAGTAATCACACTCTAGATCCACCCACCTCTGAAATGCCCACCTATGACCACATGAGGCTTAGGGTGTGGGGGGGCATCTAGATCTAGATAAAAGCCATAACAACATACAGAGCTAAAGTCCACTTAGACTTCTTCCTTTCTCCCTTTCCTTTGAGTAAGGAAAGGGAGATGTCCAGTATGTATCCCCAGTGAAATGGCTTTCAAAGAAACAAAGCTTTCTTTCAAGCTGATTGAGCATTTCCATTATAATGCCAAAGGATAAATTTTGTAGAAGCTGCCTGTTGGCTTGTCAGGGTCAGGTCATACTGGAACCCCACTTAAAAATATAGCTACATTTTGGGGAGAAGAAGCAGGTATGGAAAGATTGCTTTAGTACAATGTAAAGCTCACCATTTATGTAGTAAGCTGGATAGATTAATTTCTGTCTTTTAAATCACAGTAGCTCAATAGAGACAACATTTCCTTATAATTTAAGGATTTAGTGCTTTGTTGCCAAGAGCTTTCCATGTATTATTTCTGAACAATACTGGGCAGAGATGATGTAGTGTGTAGGATTATTACCCTCATTTTACCTTTAAAACTGAGGCTCAGTTTACTTAATAGCTTATAGAAAAGTTTAATGATTCTTCTCAGATTATGTAGATAGAAATGGTAAAGATTTTTTTATACTCTGCCATGAGAAATGGGACTCCTGCATCTTTCTGCTGCACTGCTGTTGGTAGCATTCTTCATTGTGGTGAAGCTAGGTATCAGCTCAATATTGGCTATAAAGAATCAGTCTTTTTATATATGTTTATTCAAGCTCATTCATTCAATAAATTTGAGCCCCTGCTGTGTTCTAGGCACAAGGATTACAGATGGTGGGGGGCCTCTTTTTAAAAGTGAGATCTAAAGTGCAGTTTCATGTTTGCTGACTCACGTGGTTTCTACTTTCCTTCTCTAGACTGATAATGGTCTCCAGCTGCCAGAGAAGGTTGTGGATGCCAAGAGAAAGGTAACCATTTCTCATCCCCTCAAGTGGAATTGGATGCCTCTAGGAGCCCACATTGGCTGGTGGTAGACATGGCTGAAGTTGCAAGCTACAAAGATACTTCCTCCAGCCGCCACCTGCGGTTTAAGTTACAAAGCCTGAGCCGCCGTCTTGATGAGTTGGAGGAAGCCACAAAAAACCTCCAGAAAGCGGAGGATGAGCTCCTGGATCTCCAGGACAAGGTGATTCAGGCAGAAGGCAGCAACTCTAGCATGTTGGCTGAGATTGAAGTGCTACGTCAGCAGGTGCTGAGAATTGAAGGTAAAGATGAGGAAATTAAAAAAGCAGAGGATCTGTGTCATCTCATGAAGGAGAAACTTGAAGAGGAGGAAAACCTTACCCGGGAGCTGAAATCTGAGATTGAACGGCTTCAGAAACGCATGGCTGAGTTGGAGAAGCTGGAGGAGGCCTTCAGTAGGAGCAAGAATGACTGTACTCAGCTTTGTTTGAGCCTGAATGAGGAGAGAAATCTGACGAAGAAAATCTCCTCTGAGCTGGAAATGCTCAGAGTCAAAGTGAAAGAACTGGAATCTTCTGAGGATCGCCTGGATAAAACTGAGCAAAATTTAGTGTCAGAGCTAGAAAAGCTGAAGTCATTAACGCTGAGCTTTGTCAGTGAGAGAAAATACTTGAATGAAAAGGAGAAAGAAAATGAGAAATTGATTAAAGAGCTCACTCAAAAACTGGAACAGAACAAGAAAATGAATCGAGATTATACAAGGAATGCTTCTAATCTTCTGGAAAGGAATGACCTGCGGATTGAGGATGGCATCTCTTCTGCACTGCCATCCAAGGAATCAAGAAGGAAGGGTGCTCTGGACTATCTAAAACAGGTGGAGAACGAAACAAGAAACAAATCAGAAAACGAAAAGAACCGAAATCAGGAGGACAACAAAGTCAAAGACCTTAACCAAGAAATTGAGAAACTTAAGACACAAATCAAACATTTTGAATCTTTGGAAGAGGAGCTTAAGAAAATGAGGGCCAAAAACAGTGACCTTCAAGATAATTACCTAAGTGAACAAAATAAAAACAAAATCTTAGCCAGCCAGCTGGAAGAGATAAAGCTACAAATCAAGAAGCAGAAACAGTTAGAAAATGGAGAAATAGAAAGGGAAGATGCTTTCCTGTCCAGCAAAGGCAGGCATGAGAGGACTAAGTTTAGGGGCCATGGTGGTGAGGCGTGTGGGTCTAAGTACCCATCCCGAGAACTGTCTCCTCAGCATAAGCGAGAAAGGCTCCGGAATAGGGAGTTTGCTCTCCATAGTGAAAACTACTCTGTGAGCAACAGGCATGTTTCCTCTCCCACCTTCACCAGCAGGAGGGTAGCCAAAGCTTCCAACATGGTGGCAGGTACAGAGAGTGGGGCTCAGGAGACAAAGAGAACCGAAGACCGATTTGCCCCTGGATCCTCTCAGAGTGACGGGAAGAAGGCCAGGGAGCAGCCATCTGTGCTTAGCCGCTACCCCCCAGCTGCCCAGGAGCACAGTAAAGTCTGGAAGGGAACTCCCAAACCAGGCACCGAGAGTGGACTGAAGGGAAAAGTAGAGAAGACAACACGAACATTTAGTAACTCCACTCATGGATCTGTCCCTAGTGACACATTAGATAGAGCTGACAAGGCTTCAGACACCTTGTCGGAGGCCCACTTCAGCAAGCGAGCACAGGTACCTGACAGTGAAAGTCAAGTAACTCCAGCTACAGACCATGTCTGCTCTAAGGCTACTGGAGCCCTGGCCTCATCTCGAAGATCATCTTCAGAAGGACTCTCTAAAGGTAAAAAGGCTGCCAATGGCCTGGAGGCTGATACTGGTTCCCCCACCTCCAAGGCTTCTATTTTATCAAAGTATCCCTATAGTTCCAGAAGCCAAGAGAACATCCTTCAGGGCTTTTCAACCCCAAATAAAGAAGTTGAGCAGCCTGTAGCAGTTGTGATGGAAGATAGCAGTCACCATGAAGCCTTGCGGTGTCGAGTCATCAAATCCAGTGGTGGAGAGAAGCCTGACTCAGATGATGACTTGGACATGGCATCTCTGGTTACTGCCAAGTTGGTAAACACAACCATCACTCCAGAGCCAGAGCCCAAACTACCGCCCACCCCTAGAGAAAAGGCCAAATCTCGAGGGGAACATAGAATCTCCCGATTTGAGAATGACAAAAACACTGGGATAGAAAGTGAATCTGTGAAACCTGTCAGAGCCTCTAGCAATGCTGTGGAACTTGCAGATGCCAATGGTGCTGGAGTAAAAAGCCAGAGGCCCTTCAGTCCCAGAGAGGCCTTGCGGTCTAGAGGTGTCATCAAACCTGTTATCATTGATAAGAATGTGAAAAAAATAATGGGAGGATCTGGAACTGAGGCTGTGTTAGAGAAACAGAAACTCACCTCTAAACCAGGGCCAAACAAAGTGACAAGCAGCATTACTATCTACCCCTGTGACAGCAGCAGCCCTAGAGCTGGCCCAGGTGAGGCCCTGAGGGAGAGGCACACGTCCACCAGCAACATCCAGGTTGGGCCCGCAGAGCTTATGCCAGTTAGCAACCATGTCAGCTCCCCCTTTGAGCTCTCCATTCACAAACATGACATCACAGTGCAGCTCACAGAAGCTGAAAGACTAGGAGATGGGTCCTCAAAGAACAGGCCAGACATGGTGGTGTCTCGGAGCAGCATTCTAATCAAGCCATCAGATTCTGTGGAAAGGAATAGCCATGCCGCCCCAGCGGAGACAATCAGGTGGAAAAGCCACAGCACCCCTTCAGAGGGGGGCTCCTCAGACACTAGGCACATTACTGTACGCAATGCCTGGAAGACTAAGGAAGACTTGAAGTCTTTTGAAGACGCCCCAACTCAAGTAGGTAGAAACATGGAATCTACCAACACTTACATCCAGAGGTCTTCCACAGACTTCTCAGAACTTGAACAGCCCAGATCCTACCTTTCTGAGTCAGGCATTCGAAGGGTAGGAAATTCTGGGGATGCAGCTGAGCTTTCCTCCAGAAGGACCCAAAGTAGCCTAACAGTGTCTGAGGTGCTCACCCATCGGAGTCGGGCAGGAGATAGGGTCATGGCTGCAGCTTGGAACCATTCCGCAGGCATGGTGAGTCCCTTTCTTTCTCTACTTTCTTTCTTGCCTTTGCCCTGGTCTGCATGACCAAGATTTGGGGAACTGGGCCTGGAAAACACTGGGAGAACTGGGTAGCTCAGGGAACTATTCATATCAGGTGGGTTTGGGAGAGAACAGCATGACTCCAACATTCCTTTTCTAGTTTTTCTCCTCCCCTTTGCTTTCATATGTGATAGTGATGCAGATGGGAAATTTGATTTCTGTTCTCTTGGTTTGCTAGAACAGCCAGAGCAGCACCTAGAAGCTGTAGTGGCTGACCTGGAGCTTAGAGTGCCAGCAGGAAGCCGTGAGCTCTGTTGTAGAACAGGGACAGGGGGTCTGACAAGTTCTTGTTCTCCTGCCTCAGTTAGATAGCAGGTCCTCGTAGGCTACTGGCATATAGAGGAGGACAGCAAGGGCTTACTCTGGGCCTATTTTACAAGCTTTATACTCAAACCTTTCTTTCATTTTATCTCAAGAGAGCTCTCTGGCCCAGTATTCATTCTGCTAAGGCCAGAGCTGGTTCAATATGGCTAAACCTAGACCCGTCTGCCTTATTCAGGGTCAGAGTGTGAGGAGAGTATCTGAAGGAGAAGCCCCTGGGAGTATCTTTTAGATGTGGAGCCTGTGACAATGACAGACATCTTGCCCCTTGCTAGAAACACTGCTAGACAGGGTTAACTGGAAGAGCCTGTAAGTCTTCATAATTGACAGGGCACCTCCCACCGTCATTCAGGCCCTCAAGCAGCCTGTGGCTAGATGTTAGCCCCACCTTTCAGACAGAAACTGCAGGTCACAGGCACAGAGTACCTTCCTCCAGGCCACCCAGGTGAGTTCCCGAAGGAGCCAGCTCACACTTTCACTACTGTTTGATCTGCACTTGCTTAGAAAGACGAAAAGAGAACACTGAAAAGCATAGTGTCAGAACAGACTGGAGAAGACAGGTACTCAGACCCCTGAGACTCTGGATATCTAAGAGGAGTTAAAGGTAGAGGAAGGCACAAAATAGATGGGGAGGGCACAGGTGCTTTCTGGTAGTACATAGGTGAGGAGTATCACAGCTGTCCAGCCTTCTTTTCTCCATACTCCCTGCCCCCCACCAAGGAAATGGCTCTTAGCCCCAGAAGAATGCACACTGCTGGCTGCTGCTTAGGGTTACCGCTCCCATGCTCCCTTTTGACACTGTCCTAGACTGGGCTCCTGTTCAGTTGTGAGCCTCCTGGTCTATGGTTTTCTCCACCAGCTTGGAGTTCCTGGTCTACCCTGATTTCCAAGGAATTTTTATATTGGCCTGTACCCAGGCAAAAGCATCTTTACAATGATTTTATGGTCTTTCTGCCTCTGCCACATTGGAAGGGACCGACCCTCTGTGGTGGGAGGTGTGGGTGCCTTGTTTTTCACTGTACTGTCTTATGTAGCTCATTTTGCTCACTTGTTATTTATTGACACAGGAGGAAGGTGAAGACTGTGCACTCAGTGTCCACAGACGACTGCACAACTCCTTGGAGCAGTCTGAATGGCCTGTGAAGCCAGGACTGCCAGAGCTGGGGCGAGTTCGAGCCGAGGAACGATTACGGCCAAGTAGGCCTTGTGCTGAGGAAAACTGAGCCAGCTGGGTGAGGTCTCCTGTCTCCTCTGCTCCTGCTTCTCAGCTCTTCCACCGCCTGCCCTGCGAAGTATCTAAGACCAGTTAACCAGTTGGACACAAGGCCTTGGCTGGGAGACTGGTAGAGAGCTGGGTTGTGGCTCAGGTAATTTTTGCCAGTTGGCCAGAGGGGATCACAGACTACAACCTGGACAGTCACCCAGGCCCAGCCTTCCTTGATGCATGAGTCCTCTTTCTTTGTCCCTGTCCCTAAGGTAGCATGGACCACTTTGGCCCTCAAATAGGGAGCTGTAGGAACCTCCCACCATACAACAGTAGCCAAAATTCTCTGCTCCCTGGTGGGTAGTTTCTGTATCTTAGAGTAGCCCCTTCTCTGTTAAGTCCCTTAATGCGTTGACTTCTGTCTCCTCACCATGTTCAGTTTGCTCTTTGTGCTGAGGGCCCACATGCCCACTAAGGATTATCAGCCATTAGCTCCACCTGGGGGGCTTCCATTCCTTCTTCCCTTGGAGTTCTTTTCCTCAGACTTTGAAAGCAGAAGGGGTCTGTGCTGCCTCTGAGGGATTATGGCACTACCTTGTAGGCTGAGGCTTCTCTGACCTGGCCCCGCCCCCGGCTGACCAGTTTCCTGGGGGCAGAGCGTGCAGATACCTGTTGGAATGACACCATCCCTCCCCCACCCCAGCTCTCTGCTCATCTTCCAAAGACACCGGAAGTGCGCAAGCCTCATGCATCTCCTTCCTCCGTAATGCTGCTGGCAGAACTGCACGCTCTCCTGTGGTTGGAGACTTCAGCTGACATCATCGTTCCCATTTTGGGAAAATTCCTGGACTGAGCTGGGCCTGACCCAGTATACTCTGCCTTCTAGGAAGTGCCCCAGCAAGGGGGAAAGCAGACAGGAAGAAGCAATTTCCCTTCAGTCACTCCACAAGCAATAGCTCCACAAAAGGCATGGACTGAGAATCTTCTCTCCTGTTCCTCCTCCTCCATCCCACATGGAGGAGGCTTCGCACTTTACCACACTGATGCATTCCTACAGAAGTTGCCCCGATGCCTGCAAGTCGACTATCGTTACAGTGACTTCATTGAAAGAAAGATTATCTGCCCATTGAGGACCTCAGGTTTATATAGTTCAAAGTGCAGCAAGTCTTTCAGGAAGCCGCATTAAAAACAAAAGACTAGTTTCCTTATACCAGTCACACAGGGGAGTTAAAAACTATATTCATGGCACAGCTTTTTCTACAGCATCCTCAATATAAGCGAGGGATTTCCTTTAAAGGCTACTGGTATGAAGCAGATGCCATTGCTTTCACCAGCAAGGGAGCGTTAGACTAGGAGTCTAGAAAGCTGTTTTTTCTGAGGCTTTATTACTTCCTTGCTGTGTAACCTTGGGAGAGTCCTTGTCTTCTGGAAACCTTAGTTTCCCTGTCTATAAAATGAGCTCTTTGAAATGGATGATCTCTTAAGGGGTCTGAATCTGGAATTCAAAATTCCTGTTTTCACTATCCGTTGTGGGCTGCTTCTTACTATCTACAGGGGCTTGGGGAAATGTTTTACCTCTTGCCTTCAGTTGTCTTTGTCGGCCTTACACTTAAGTTTCTCCATGTTTATGTCTCACAAGGGTGAACACAAGAGAAGCTCCTTGGGCCTGTTTCCAGTCAGTGAAGGGAAGGGACTGCATAGTCTGAAGCCTTACCCAGTGCCACATGTGTTATCTCCTGGCTTTTAGGCTGGGTGCTTTCTAAAACACAAGTCTACATGTCTCCTATTTCTGTGCCTCTCCTGAGTGTCTTCTGGGAAGTGGGAAGAGTCGGGACTTCCTCAGGAGGACTGTGAGTGGTTTTCCCTGCCTTTGCACAGGCATTGGTGTTCATCCTGCCCTTGTCTGCATCAGACTGTGCTGTTCTGAGGCTTGGAGAGAACCAACCCTACTTTTTGGGCAGGAATATCTTGCTCATACTTCTGTTTTCTGGAGTTTTGCTAACCTAAGGGCTTGCCACTGCTATGTGGCTTCCCTTTCCTTTCCATATTCCACCACAGATGCACAATGTAGGATGCTATTTTCAAGATTTCTCCCTGCTGCTTCTTCTGGGTCACTGGCCAGAAACTTGCTCACTCAAGGCTGCAAATCCTCACTTGCAGCTTCTCTACCTTTTACCTGTTGGCAACCCCAGAGTTCAAAGGAAGCTAACCTCTGGGATGGTCAATGGAGTGGGAGGGGGCATGTAGGAAATTCTGTGGCTCTTCTCTGCTGATGGAAACAGAAGGACGCCAAGCCATGCCTAAAAAGATCTCGCCAATATTTTTTGTCTTTGGGTGTTGGGGCCCTGGATTCTGGTGCTGTAGCTCCTGGTGCCAAAGTCTGGATCTTTCCACATTTTAGCAGCACCAACATCTTCAATACTCAAAATGCTGTGTGGAAAAGGGACAGCTGTGGTGCCTTTTTACTGGGGCTGCCATTTTGAAATCTGAGTGCAATAGGGTTTGATTGTAACAATTTAATGATGTTTTATTTTTCTTTAATCTGCACACTTTATAGAACCGCTGTTAAGATAGATTTTATTTTTAAATATCTTCAGCATTGCAGAAAATATGTATTAGCAAGTGAAGGCTAGAGGCTCAGTTCCTCTGGGCTTCAAATGGCTGGCAAGGCTGGCTCTCAGATTCCAAAGTTGGAAGGCATATTTCTGAAAAGCAACTAAGGTGTGGCCACTTGCATCCAGTCCTCACAATCAGGAGTCCTGGAGGAAGCCTCCAAGTAGAGGGGAGACCTGGTGACTGAATAGTTGTCTAGGCCAAATAGTCCCACTGTCCTAGCCAACCCACTTTTATGATGAGCCTCTTTTGCAGCCTGGCTCTAACTCTTTTACTGGCAGGTATATGGTTGTGAGAAGCCTCCTAGGGAAGCTGGGAAACCTGGCCCTGCATAGCTGCTTGGTTGGGAGGAGGCAGAGATGGCTAAAGGCCAGGAGCTGGTCTCTCTCACTTGCCACAGTGTCTCTTGCCACTCTTGATTCTGAAACAACCAGACAAAGCTGAAGGGATGGTAGTAGACAAACCGTATGTAGGTTTTGCTTCTTTGCGGGAATGAAACAGTGGAGACTGCAGGTTAAAGGCAGGAGTGTGTGTGGGGCCAAGGACTCCAATCTCAGCTGCAGGTGAGCTTGCACATGAACCATCCCTCTTGTGAGGTGCTGGGGGTTGGGGGGGATCTATAGTGTTCTTGGACTTCTTGTTCTGGGGCAATTTTAGTTCTTTAGATTTAGTGGGTCACGGTGCCAAGTGCTACAACTTCCCAGTAAAGGAACAGACCCAGACCCCTGAGGCTGGGTCCCTGGCTGTCTTTGCTGGTGTGAGTTTCTTTGTTGCTACTCTGACAAGACTGCTTCGGAATAGCTGCTTTTAGGGATTTTCTTTTGAATACCCCAAGTGGGGAACAGGGTTCTCCTCAAAGCCTCAATCAAGATCATAGGAAAGGGGCCCTATTTTCCTGCTGCTTCACAGCTCAGAACATGTTTTGAACGGAATGTATTTTTAAGAGAATAAAGTCTATTTTTTTGTATTTTAAAGATAGGGAGGGCTAGGAAGATAGCCTTCAAATAAACTGTTATTGCATTATAGGCCCCTTTGGTAGGGGCATAGTCTGTTGGTCCATACCTAACTTGTGCAGGCAGGTGCTCTGGCCTCACCCCTTCCCTCTTGGAGGCTTTTACATTTCTGCTCCAAACACAGGACCAAGAAGGCCAGGACCTGCCACTGGAAACCAGGGCAAAGCCATGAGCAGTGGCTCAGGGCTCCTTGGATGCATGTGTGTAGTCAAAGCTGCCTGTCTGCATGTATCCTCTGGCTCTAATGCTCTCTGTTGGCTCTGCAGCACAATATGTAACCAATAAAACTCCCTAGTTTCCATATGCTCAGTGAAGTCTGATGCCAATTTTGTTAATGTCATCTCTGCGTACAGCTGTTATCTCTGTATTGGTGCAGCTAGAATATTTCACTATTTTAGGTAAAATACCATGCCAGTTATTGATGCTAGAAAGTCTGGAGGTGTGAACTATAGTTAAAATCATCAGCTATTTCATTGCTACATTTTATTTTCAAGCTTGTCACAAAAAAACAATCTCTCAAGCTGCCTATGTCATTTATTTAAAAACAGAAGCCACCACCACTGGATCAGACACCCTAATTAACCCCTCGGTTCCAGAGTGTACCCCAAAGCCCAAGCATGTTCCACTGCATGTGGTCCTCACCTCTGTATCAGTTTTCTTTTTCCAGTGAGATCACCAATATGTTGTCCCTTAATAAGGCCTCATTTTAGACTATCAGAAAGATTGACTCACGTTGAATACAATCTGATTTCCAAAGCTTCTGACGCATTTGTACAGTGACAGTTTTTCTGTTAGGAGTCCTCAGGAAGGAACACTACTGTTTGCTTCTTTTTGTAAAAATGTTTACCTTGTAAAGCAAAGAGGACTTTGCAGGCATGACTAAAGAGACAATAAGCATAAGGTCTGACTACAAGGGAAGGGGCTACACAGCAATAGAGATGGCCACTAGAAGCTAAAAATAGCAAGAAAATGGATTCTTCCCCTACAGCCTCCACAATAAACATTTTTATTTCTTTTTAATTTTCCTCAAACTGCCATCTTTTTAGACTTTGGCTATCCAGAACTGTAGAGAACAGATTTGTTGTATTAAGTCACTAAGTTTGTGGTAGTTTGTGACATCAGCTAAATTACCTAAGCCCTTGACCCTTTCCTTATGTAATACTTCCCAAATCTTACAATACTATTGTTTGTGCCCATGGGGAAGGGTTGGGATATGAGAATAAAGGCAGAATGGTCCACCAGTGGCTCAAACTGAAAACTCAGATCCTAAGTTTTCTGATACACTCTTGGCCCACTGCTGCAGTCCCAGCAGGGAAGTTAAGCCCGTCGCCAGGAAGTCCTCTGAGCTACAGGACCCATCAACCTCATCTTCTGATCTGACGAAATCATTTTTCTCTTTCATAAGAACATTCTCATTTAAACAAAGAAAATACATGTACTACCACTGACGTAAGGTTAAACTGGCATTTCTAAAGAAGTAACATCCCTCACATACAACTCCAACCCAAAAGGGGAAACAAGATAGGACTAATTTTATATGAAGTTTTATTCTCAAAATATTAAAAAAAACACCAAGAGACTGAGATGTTCTATTATAGCACATTCTTGCCTCAGTCTTTAAGAACAGGATTCAAATAAGTTCTTCCCTGTTGGCTGACGGTGAGCCCAGGTACCAGGGCAGGAGCTTCTCAGTGCCATCTAGTAGTATTGCTAGACCTTTGCAAAAGACCTGCAGTCGTTGTCCTTCAGCTTGTATCTCACATGCTTGGAGACTGCTGTGCAGGGACGCCTGGTGTGGCCTGGCGAGGCAAAGTGTACATGGCCCCCAAGAACTGGTCTGCAATCCTTCCTGCTTCTCGCAGCCCACTCAGCAGAGCACCATGGACTGTGGCTGGGTAGTTCCGGATTGTATGCTCTCCGGCAAAGAAGAGGCGTGGGATTGGCTATTTCAGGGAAAAATAAAACAACAGATTGCAAATACACCTTTCGGTTTTTAAAAACGGCCTCACTATACAGTAGTGAGAATTCATGATCCTTCTGCCTCAACCCTCACTGTGGTGGCAAATAATAAGTTTATTTTTTCCCTTGGGTGGCTCTAGGGATTTGAACCCAGGGCTTCTACTTTAAGCTACCTCCCTAGGCCTCCTTTTTGGAAAAGGTCTCACTAAATCACCTAGTCGGCACTTGAACTTGTAGTTCTTCAGCCTCCCAGAGTGTCAGGATAACAGGTCTGTGCCACCACATCACACCTGGCTTCTTGTGTCTGAACTGCCAAATTCCTGTTGACTTTTGAAGGCTTGTGCCCCCTGCCTTGTTGCTAGTTTTTTTTTTTTTTTTTGGTACTGGGGATTGAACAGCTTGTTGCTAGTTTATCATTCTACCAGCATTTTCCTAGAACTGACATCAAACCTACCCCAGCCTCATTTCTTAGAATGGTGCTTATTAACTGCATCTGTTATTTATCAGTACACTTGGCAGAGTCTAGGATTTTCTTTACCTCATAAAGTACCTACCAGCAGCAAGGATAGGATCTTAAATACTCAACCACCGAGAGTACAGCGTTTGTTCTTATTCAGGAACACACTTGCCTCTCAGTTCAAGCAGACCACTGATTTGGGTTTTGATACCGAGAAACCCTTACTGCTGTCTGGAACAAGGACTGGCATAATCTAGAAAAGGATCCAAGACTATTTTCTGGGTATCTCCCAAAGCCCCTAGTGATCCTGAGACCCCACAGTAATCCTATGAGTCACTACAAAGTGAGGTACAATTTAAAATGGATTTTTTTTTTTTTTAAGGTGGGAAAATGGAAAAAAAGTTGCCAACTTCTACATACTCTGGACTCCTCCATTCTGAATGTAGACTGCCTAGATTTACAAAGCCAAAATATGAGAAATCAGATTTAAATAGTACCATTTCTCTTCTGGGTTATCTGAAAAGTGTCTGAAGACAGAATGACTAAAATCAAAACATCAGTGGCATCATCTTTCCCCCAAGATCATGGGGCATGGGCTTCTTCCCAAAGAGACCTAGATGTAGTCTGCCAGTTTATTACCTGCGGGGCACCTGGAATTGAGGGGCCAGGAGTGATTGGCTGCGCCATCAGATCATAGTCATTTCCAGATGATCCTGCAGCTACATAGGAATACGAGCCCCGGGCCCAGGGATCAGCACGCCAGCGGGACACCACAGTTTCCTTGGGCTAAAGGAGAAAACATAGGCAAAAGTCATTATTGGAACAAGGACAAACAAACCAGTCCTCTCTGAAACATGGAAAAGTGGTGGGCAAGTACATTAGGGAAGAGGCAAAAAATATGAGCTAGGTGGTGGATGCTGCTGCTCTAAGAAGCACTAAGGCAAGATGACTTTGGGTGACTTCCACTGTGCCTTGTATATGAGTCCAAGTCTAGGACTTGACCTTTATTTGCTTTTATAAATTCACATAGGACATTAATACATGTCCCATCAAAGAGATCATAAGGGGCTAAACAGCACAGTGGGCTTAAAGAGGACAAAATTACCAACAGGTTCTCTTAGTGTCCCTGAGGGATTCACTGGAGTTTGGCCACTTCATCTAGAAGGCAGGGTTATGTGACCCCACGCACAGAGGAGGAACCAAGCTAACCATCTACAGATTTCCCAGGGGGGCTTTTCTGAATGTCATTTGTAAGGCAGAGTTCCAAACATTAAAAATCATGTAAATCCAGCACACATGTAATTCTCAGAGTGACATAACTTACGCTGCAAATATGTTAAGCCAGACCCTGATCCCTGGTTGTTCCCCCACCTACTTACCTGGGGCACTGCACTGCTACCAAAAATCCCCTTGAGAATGGCGAGGCACCGGCCAACAATCACATCATCACTTATGTTTTCCATGATGCCAGCAGCTTCTCCTGCCACCAATGCCAACAGTATTGGAGCTGGGGAAACAGGAACAATTCTAGGGTCTTTCTACAGATTTTTCTCAAGAAATCTGTCAGGACCTGCCTAGTTCTTGATACCCTGAAATATGACGAGATATGTAGCATCCAACATGGGAAACAAGTTATGTTCCTAAACTCTTATCTGCAGAAATAGGCCAAAAGGAAGCTGGCAGGCTATTGTGAGTATACACCAATTCTAACAAAACTGTATATTTAGGCAGAGACTTCTAAGAAGACTGACCACCTTAGCTCCCTAACAATGGCTACATCCCTTTAGCTATATCCTGGGTCCCTCTAAGCCTGTCACCCATTTGGTAAATATTTATGAAACAGACTTTTATGACTGGCACAGGGATAGATACTGTGCTATAGAAGGTGCAAACCAGACTATACTCCATTATAGTGACTCAGACTTAATAGGAACTGAAGGTAGTAGGATGTGTGTGTACTGGAAAATCTCTGAAATAGATTGACATTTAACTCAAGACCTGAAGGCTAGAGTAGAGTAAGCCATGTTGGAAGGGAAAAAAAAATCAGCCTAGGCCACAGTGCATACAAAAGCCCTGAAGTAGTAAACAGCATGGCACATTGTAGAATCAGAGAGGCAAGTGTGCCTGGAGTGAGGAATAGGGAAGACAAACAACAGGCAATAGAGAAGGGCTAGATTATGAGGGGCTTGGTGAAAAGGAGCCTGAAAGTGTTCCTTCAATAAGAGAAAGCCATCAAAAATAGAAGCAGAAGAGTTGGGGATTTAGCTCAGTGGTTCTGCTACCTGCCTTACAAGTGCAAGGTCCCAAGTTTGATCCCCGGTACCAAAAAAAAAAAAAAAAAAAGTTGTAACCATGGCCAACTGTCAGGTAACTTGACCCGTCAAGTAGGCAGCAGAAAAAGAACACACAGACCTGAGAGATTCTGTGAGGCTGGCACAGACAGGACTTGATGGCCTGGACAGAGAAGGAAAAAGCACTGAGCTGTTGCCAGAAAGCAATGCATGCAGTGAACAAAGTAGCTCCTGTGTGAAGTGAAGAGGCCTTGGTTTAGCTGACACTTCAGTAGCAGGCAGGGAGGGGTAACGAAAAGAACTGGGGGTGAGGTCAAGCTACTTAAGCTATGTGTCTGCAATAACAAGGCCATGCCCTTGACAGTGCTGTGTGGTAAATGTCTGCGTACATCCTTTGCTTGGAGGTGGGGTATAAATAATACTTTATTTGCCTCTATATAGAGTTAAGGTAGTCTAATTACAAAAGAAAGTAACAGGAAATAGGAATGTGAAAAATGCATTCTAATGAAAGTGATCAAAGATTCAGGGGCAAGTCGGGTGTGACACAAAATGAGCAATAAATTTCCTATTCCAGGAAGCCTCCCAGGGCCTATCCCTTCTGCTGAGGTGATTCCTCTATTTATTTTTTTGGTACCGGGGATCAAACTCAGGACCTTGAGTTTGCAAGGTGGCACCACTGAGCTAAATCCCCAGGCCTCCCCCTTTATTTTAATGTATTCTCTTATACCTAGAACGGATTTTTAGGAACTCCTCACTGAGTTTATAAAATCCTAATATTCCTAATTCTGTGTTCCTGTAAGGATATGAAAAAAAATAAATCTAGAAGCAGTTACCTTTATAGAGGTTCCAGAAGAGGAAGAGCTCCCCTCTGCTGGCAGTCGTGCTGCCAACATGGCCGAACAAATTGACACTTGGATCCCAGAACACTCGGTCAAAACATAACACCACCTACCATAAGAAGGGCACATAAGCTGGTGACAGGCCTTGGATATCATGGCTTTAAGCACTGCTGTGCCTGTGAAGAACTTCTTCAGGTGTATTAAAGTCTTCTAATCTACTTCTGATATAAGCTCAGAAATCTCTCTTATAAATGTACTGTTTAGGACATTTATGACTCTCTTTTTATAGGCTTGGATGTTCAGAATAACCCCATAAGATAATAACCCCCTACGTGTGTTGGATACTATAGGCACTGAAGGAATGAACTAACAGGCCCTCAGACCTGTATCACAGAATGCTGAGGGGACAGCCAAATGCACACCAACTCAAAGCCCTCTGCTCTCGAGGAGGCAGAAAAGCTAGTATGTGCACATCAGTATGTGAAGAGAGGGGCCTAGAATATATCACCTTGTTAAGGTTGCCAAATCCCATCCTTTGGACTGCAGACGTCTTCCACTCAGGAAGAGGTGGCACAAACTGAACAGCTGGTGGCTGCTGCTTCAACACACCCAGGGGAAGAGTACAGAGCACTGCATCACACTTATAAATAAAGGTTTGACTTGTGGAGCGGGTATTCACAGCGATCACTTCACATCCTACAGAAGTTGGTGGGAAAAGAATAATGGTGATGAGCATGGCCTTAAAAAGGACACTTAAACACTTAGTGTACAATAGGACCTATGTGCTATTTCACCTAACTCTGCTATACATCCATGATAGAGGTACTATTATCTTCATTTCTCATGTAAGAAAATGAATAGAGGTGAGCCTAAGGCCACAAAGGTAAGAAGTGGTAAGATTTAAATCTGCACAGCAATGTTGAGTCCTTGCCAGTTGCCTCCATAGTAGCCTGCCCTCCTAATACACTGCTGATCTGCTAGAAGGATCCCACCACTCAGCAAAGTTAAGTAATTTAGACGAAAATTAGGAGTAAAATGTCTGTTCCAAATAACCTGATTTCTTTCCACTGTGGTTAGTTATTCTCTACGGACAAAGAATGAGATGCGGAGACTGTGGTGTGGATCTAGGAACACACCCCTCCAACTGTGGAGCACACTGAAAATGTCCTCCTCTATGGCCCAGTTTGTCTGAACATGAGCTCAAAGCCAGCCTCAGAGAGGGTACTGAAATTATGTTATCTCATTTGGGTTCTTAAATAATTATATAATTAAAAATACATATAGCTAAAAGTAAGTGTGAGAGCTCAGTACATGCCTATTTCCTGTGGCTGCAGAATTAAGAGGAAATGACATTATCGTTATTCTTACTGTTCTCCCATCCGCTGGCAAAAGGTTACAGACCTCAACACCAGATAGAAGCTGCCTTTGATGGGAAAACTAAACGGAAAGTTGTTTCATTGGTGGTTATAATGTGTGTGAGGGTGTGTGTGTGTGTGTGCGCCCACTCATGTGCGCGCGTGCGCGCACACACACACACACACAATGAGAGAAACAACTCTAGGAAAGGGGGTCTCCCTCTGTACTTCTTATGCCCAGGCAGTCACAGGAGGATCCTTACAGAGGTAACCAGCTATTTTAAGGAGTTCAAAACTATCAACTCCAAAGTGAGTAGACAACAAGTTCTCTGCATTCCACATTAAATGCACTCTGAAATCAACAATAAGAGCACTGAGCCTATTCCCACAGGAATCACAGGGCAAGTCTATCTTTGAAGTCAATTTATCAGCAGGACTGCTCCAGAACTAGGAATTAGTCTGCACAAATTAGCCCTTCTGAACAGGAGAGCCAAAACAGAGACCGAGACAGATGGTGAAATATAAGGAGTATTAGATCCAAACTCACTGGCTATGACTGTAATACATAATAGTTTACACCTCAGTTGGAAACTAAAACTTGCCTCAAATTTTCTACCTTATAAATGAGGGGGGTTTGAACTCTGAGTCTCCATGGGTTAACCAACTAGAAATGAAAAAATTTCACCTAGGAGCCATCATTTGTAAAACACTTTACTATTTTATAAAATACTAGGGAATACACCTACTATTTTTGCTGTAGGTCACAGCCAATAAAAGATGAGTTCTGTTTCAGGGAGAAACTGTCTTACCTGCTTAACAGCCACATACCTGAGGCTGTGTAGCGAACCTGTCGCACTGCTGTATTCAGTTTAATGTCCAGGCCTTCTGCTAACGCCACCGGCACACAGGAATAACCATTCCTCACTGTCAAATGGCTGCCAGTAAACTCAAAGTCATCATCCTAACGAGAAGAGAAAAGGATTCATTTCCACATTTTCTTAGTTTATTTTCTTAGTCTTATGTCATTTACATTGAATTCTGAATGACAATGCTGAAAAACACAAGCCTGTGAAGATAGTATTTTAAGGCAGAAATTAAATAATCACTTGTATTCAACTATAGGTGCCCATGAAAAATGAAGGAAAAAGAATATCAAAATGCACCCAATCTTTGGATAGTGGGATTAAGGGTTTTTCCCATCACAGTCCTACACAACCAAGTCCAGACCAGGGATGGATGTGGAAACTCAGATGATTAGGTAGCACAACAGCTTATCTTTTTGGCTTCTGAATAGTTATAGACTTGTAGGATATCATATTCACTGTCCCAATTACATTATCTTTTACCTATGAGCAAAATCTGTTTTTATTCCTTAAACTTAGATATCAAAGTTGATAAAGATTTTCAAAACGATTCTGTCAAACTAGATGAAGGCAATCCAGGATTGTAGCAGAGGCCCAAGATGGTCCATATAGTAAAGAAGTCAAGAATCCCCAGTGCTCTTTCTTTAAGTTTTTTAAAGACAGAGTCTCACTATGTAGTTCAGGCTGGCCTTGAACTCACTATGTATCCCAGGCTATCCTCAAACTCACTACAATCCTCCTGCCTCAGCCTCCCGAGTGCTGGGATTACAGGCCTATGCCACCACACCCAACACCAGTGCTCTTTCTTTGAATTTACTAAAAAAAAATTCTGGACAGAGAAACTTTTTGAAGACTAGTATTTCTAATTTCATAAAACCCTTGGAGAACACATAACACAAAGGAATTAAAATAAAAATATCGAGCTGGGGGCCAGGGATTTAGCTCAGTGGATCTGGCGTCTTCCTCAAAAGTACAAGGTCAAAAACAAAACAAAACAAAAATTCAGCTGGCAGCAAAATTCTCACTGTTTTGGAATTGACTAATCTGCTCCCCACAGATCAGCTGAAATTGCCTATAATCAACGTTTAGTACTACTATAAATAGGTAAGTATTGAGACTTTAAATGATAAATCAATGAGTGGAAGGGCCTAATCTAGTATTTACACAAAAGAAACAATAAACTGGTACTTCTCTAAGATTTTATCACTAATAAGTCCAATCCTTAATGCTTCAAATATTGAAGAATAACAGAGTACACAAACTAAAGAAGTCAGCGGGACATGGTGGTACACACCCGTAATCCTAGCACTCCAGGAAACTGAGGAAGGAGGATTGCAAGGTCAAGCCCAGCCTAAGCAACTTAGTGAGGCCCTGTCTCAAAATACAAAAATTAACTTTACTAGGAAAACATGATGAAAATTAAAACTTTGTTTACTTCTAGTCTTAGGTCTGGCCAAAGTTTCAGATTTAAAGATTGGCCCATTTGATACCCAAGAAGGCTTGTGCAAATTACACTTAAAACACATTTATCATAAAGTGGTTAAACCCTGTATACTGGCAAACATTAAACCTTGCTGAGTAAGAAGATCTAAATAAATGGAGAAGTATACTATACTCCAAGATTAGAAGACCCAATATTAAGATGACAGATAACCTTAAATTGATCTAGACATATGATGCCCTACTAAATAAAAATCCCAGAATGTATTTTTTTGTAATAATTCACAGGCTGATTCTAATTTCTTATGGAAATATAGAAAACTTACAATAGTCAAAACAATTTCAAAAAAGAACAAAGTGTAGAACTTACACTACCTGATTTTAAGACTTAACTCACATTTACATGGCCAACTGACAATCAACAAAAGTGTCAAAGAAGGATGGGGCTGAAATAATTAAGATAAGATTTTTCAGCATATAAAAATATAAAGCCAAGGAGATGGGGTATGGCTTAGTGGTATGATAAAGAGCACACATAGCAAAAGTGAGGTCCTAGAGTAAATCCCCATCAACCACAAAAAAGAAGGAAAAAAAAAATGAAAGAAGAAACATAAGGTCTAAGAGAGAGAAAACAAAAAAATCTGTGAGACATTATTTAGAAAAAAGGGCAAGCTAAAAACTAGAGGGAATATGCGCAAAACATAAATCTGACAAAGACTTCTGGGCAGAATTTAAAGAATATGATTTAAGCTCCTACAACTCACCAACAAGAGACAACTAGATTTTGTGGAGTTTTTTATATTAATAGTCTGTATTTTATCAAACAGAAGTTCCTCTTAACCAGGGTAGCCAGGTTAGCCAGGTGTGGTGGTGCACGCCTGTAATTCCAGAACTCAGGAAGCTGAGGCAGGGGGATTCCCCTGAGTTTGAGGCCAGCCAGTTTGAGACCACACAGTGAGTTCCAGGCCAGCCTGAACTACACAGTGAGACCCTGTCTCAGAAAACAAAACAAAACAAAAACAGAAGAGAAGTTGCTTTTATTTTCCACTTCAGAGTGGTATTAATGTGTATTTTCAATGGTAATTTTAAAAAACTCTTAAATTCTGATTTCTAAATCAACACTACTTTTACTTTAGAATTGATGCATTGTAGTTCTGGAAATCTTGCACACTCTAGATGTGATATTTGCCAACCACAAACCTTATATTCTTACCACCATGGAGATTATTTCTTACAACTAGATAATATTATATAATTCATGGTTTTATTAGCATTACTAGTATGGCTCTGAATCATAGTCTTTCTTCTCTGCACCTTAAATTTAGAAGTGCCAAGTCCATTCAAAGGCTAATTAGAACTTCATATGCCTAGATGGAAGTTAACATTGCCAGACTATTTATTAGTGCCATCGTTCTAAAGCAACATTAAAGGCCTGTTTCATCACTGATTTTCAAACTGCTGCACAGCATAAAATGGGGTTACTGTTTACCTATCAAAGATAGCGAACCTTTTAGAGCTTTCAATGATAAAAAACAGCCAGCTGCGGCACCTGTGCCATAGGTTTGCCACCACTGAATCCTCTTTCTTAATGCAAGGTCTGCTTCTTTTGTATGCTGGCTCAAGTAATTCCCATTATGCTACACATTGTGTGCAACTTCTGGACGTTACTTGGTCTGGTCCACAGACATTTTCTGGGACATTACCAAATGTGACTGTGGAAGGACTTGGAAATCTTTCAACGCTAATCAGTGGAAGACACGTGTTTTAAGATGGGAGGGATTATTAAATATTGTGACCCTAGGAAAAGGGAATTATTGATAAGGGAGAAATTACTCCCAACCTGCTAGATGTCAGATGTGTCAAGTTCGTGGCCTCTGAAATCCAAGGAACAAACGAGGTTGAGAGTAGGAAAGGTTTATTGAGATAGCTCCTGAGAGACAGGAAGGGTCCCGAAAGTGTGTTACCACCGAGGCCCTTTGTCAAGGGTAATTTATACAGCAGTCACAATGTGGGTACAATGTGGGTCAAACTATCATCAACCTATAGAACTGCAAGTATAGCTGCTTAGCTAATATTGATCCAATAGGATAACGAGTCACAAGGTATATGGCAAGGGTATATGGCTAGCATCATTAACCTTGGCTTACCTATGACTTCTAACATGGAGACATTTTTGGGACAGGATGGGTCCAGATGTTCTGATAACCCACCTGGGTATCTGATGCATAGCTGGATTTAATGGACTAGGTGATGCTGATTACAACATAACCTCAAGTTATTGTTTAGTCCTCAGGGAGGGATGCAGGTCTGGCCACTGCATCTTTACCTTGGGCCTGGACTTGCGCCTCCAACTGCAATTCTGACGTCTTTGTTTCTGCTGACTTGAGAGTCCAGTCCCTCTCTGACTGTATATTTACTTCTATCTAACTTAGCTGCCTATAATATTATGAGCACAATTCTAGGACTCCAAACCCACCTCTAAGTTGGGGCCCTTCAGGTCTCCATTCCATGACCCAGGGCCCTACACCTCCCAGATGCTGGTCTGGAAAGCTTGGTGTTCCAAACTCCACCCCCCAAAGACCCATAGTCCCTTCCCTCCGCTGGGAGGCCCCCAGGGCATTTCCTCTCCAGTTCGTAGGAATCTGAGCAAAAAAGAACGTCAGGAGACTGCAGCCTACGAATTCGACCAGCCTCAAATTGACGAACAATCTTCCACTGAAAGAGAAGTAGGAGACGTGTGGATTCTCTCCTTTCTTCCTTGCCTCTTCTTACCAGGCATCCTCCCGCATTCCTGCCCTTTAGGCTAAGAGAAGCTTCCTAATCATTCCCAAAGCCTTCTGTGCCCTCTTCCTCTTCACTTTTTCCACTTCCAAACTCCCACTGCAAGATGTGAAAAGCAGAACAGACAGCAGGATACCAAGAAGTTTCTTAAAACATCTCTTCTAGGCTCTCAAGCCTTCCCCTTTAAGGAACCAGGCCCACCTCTTTCCCACTCACCTACTGGCTTTCCTTCCTGCCTGTCACTCTACCTGTAAGAATATTTTCTGTTCCTTCAACCCAACCATGTACACCCCCCAGTCTTCCTCAATGGGCCCTAGATTTTGTTTTTTGAGACAGGGTCCCACTGTGTAGCCCAGGCTAGCCTCAAACTCTGGATCCTCCTGCCTCAGCCTCCTGTACTCAGTTACTACACTCAGCTTGGATTTTTTTTAAATGGACAAAAAAATCCAGACAGATATTTCACCCAAGGAGACATGAAGGGCAGATGAGTGTGGGAAGAGATGCTCTGTATCAGCAGTCAGTAGGGAAATGCAAGGAGAATGGCTGACTTTTTAAAACCTGACAACCAAGGCTGGTGAGCAGGTGAAACAAATGAAACTTCCTGCACTGCTAGTGGGAAGGCAGTTTGGAAAATAAGTTTGGAAGTTTCTTAAAGTTAAAAATCTACTTTCTGTAAGGCCTAGAAATTCTACTACATATTTACTCAAGATAAAATAACAAACATTATAGCAGCTTCATGAATAGCCAAAAATTGGAAACAACCCAAATCCCTATCAATGCACCAATGAATGAATAAACAAGTCTGTGGTATATCCACACAATGGAATTCTACCAAATAATGAAAAGGAATGAACTATGGATCCACACAAAGTCTCAAAAACTTCGTGCTGGGCTGGGGATTTAGCTCAGTGGTTCTGCTGCCTGCCTCGCAAGCGCAAGGTCCCGAGTTTGATCCCCGGTACCCAAAACCACCCCCAAAACAAAACAACAACAACAACAATTTCATGCTAAGTGAAGTAAGTCACACACAAAATGCTATATATCACACGATTCAAATTATATGAAACTGCAGAATAGCAAAGAGCAAATCAATGGTTGTCTGGGGCCAGGAGCAGGAGGATGGGGGATAAACTGCAATGGGACAGGAGAGAGTTTCAGGATGATGGAAATGTTCTGTATCTTGATTATGGTGGCAGCTCATGACCAAGTAAAAGTCTAGCAAATCATCACACTGTTCACTTAAAATGGGCGAATTTCACTGTATATAAATAACACACATACACACAAACTTAAAGAGTTTCTCTGGAGAGTCCTCTCAGATATATGCAACAAAATAGATGACAAAGAAATTTTACCTGATCCCAATGTTTAAGGGAGAGGGTAGACAGAGGTGTGGCATTAGCAAATTCAAGATTTGCAAAATGCCAATCAAGTATCTGTCTGTCTCTTGATGAGAGATATACATCACTAGAAAATAAGAACAAGGAGCACAGGGTTAGTAAGAGAGGTCACTACTATTCTCAATGAGCTGAGGTGGGTGGTTTCAGTAAATGAGTTGGAATCTCGGAAAGTATGGGACTGTGCCTTAGAAGAAGAAATTATATATGAAAAAGTAGGAGCCTAGCATCTTATTAACTGCTTTTCAAAGACAATCTGTTTGGATATCTCAGACACTGTTAACATATTAAAACATGAGTAGGAAGGGAATTTAGAAACATGACAAGCCGCCCTATATTCACAGATATTTTCATTTATTAAACAATTTAAAATATACTCACTGACGATAAAAAGTGCACTGTACTTTATAATTTTCCTTCTAAACCTAACAGAAAAGTCATAGCTACTCTGAACATTTGGGTTTTTCTTACCTCGGGGGATTGGCTTCCAATTCTTGAAGTTTTTCTTCTAGTTTTCCTTGTGTTTCAGCTAATTCATCATATTCCTGATAAAATTTAAAAGACTGATTTTAATTTATCTTGAAAGGTCAGATATCTACCCACTTTATTTAAATCTCAAGGTGTAAAGTCTAGACATTTCCTGTCAGATTATGTGTAGAAAGTGTAGCTCAATTTAAGGCTGGGGCCAAAGCTTGGGGATTTTTGATCTTGGAGGCAAACTGTGAACCTGGGATAAGATGAGGGAGAGCATGCAGAAGGAGAAAATAAAGGAAGAAACAAACTAGTAGTAAGTGGGCTGCAAAGTAAGGATGAAAAATAAGAACAGCTACCATTTCCTGGGCATTTATCATGTCCTCAGTGCTGGAACAAACACCTTAGATACAAAATTTTATTCAAGGTTCACCATTTCCTACAAGTTAGGGTATGAGTAAAACTGTGTTATAGATGAGGTAATTAAGGAGTCCAAGGTCACAGGACTAGGAAATACCAAGCTAGGGATTTAAACCAGACAGGCTGACTCCGAAACAACTCTAAAGTCCTCATTCATCTGTGTTATTCTAATCCATCAGGGTAAGAATTCTACTGAAAGAGCAGCTCTCATACCAAACTAACCCAGTAAGTCCCCCTGGTCTCTATATTAAACTATCTTCTTTGTCCTATAAGCACTTGGTTAGTGAGCGGCACCCTATTTTCCACAGTTTCCTAGATCTGCACTAATTCTTAGGAATCCAAGCAAAACCAGTTAGGCACATTCAATACCACACCTTGCAAAGGGCAGTCAGATCCCTGTGCTTGCTTTTCACTAAGAACTCGGCAGTAATGTCTCTGGGTGGCTTCACGTCAGATGCTTCCTTGTACTGCTGATGGAGTTCTTTAATTTTCTCTTTCAAATTTACCATCTAAGATGAAAGGTTCAAATTTACCATCCAGATAGCAATGTAATTCATTCCCAAATCATACGCACCTTTAGCTTTCGTTCCTCTCTTACACTGTTATGCAAGGTCCCGGGAATTCTTAATGCCTGTTTTATATTATGCCCTATGGGAAGGGGGTTGAGGAGTAATCTACAGAGCTTAACAAAGAGGTATCACAACATTATTGGATAAGCAGGATTGGGTCTTGTCTTCCAACACACATAAGAGGGAAGGAATATCCATTTAAAAATTATATTAAAATAGATTTAATTTCCAAGAAAAACAATCTATCACCAATTTAATTTAAACTTATTTGGGGAAACCAATAGCCATGAATTATTTTTTAATTATGTAAAAGGTCAAATCATCACACCAAGAACCCTATGGAACCATTCCTAATGTTAATTTCGTCAGGGTTCTACTGGCACTATGAGGACAAGCATGGCAGTCAGAGGCCCAAGTCAGGGCTTTTCATATGTCCTGCTGGCTGGCATTTCTCCAGCCACTCCTCATTTCATCCTTGCCACAAGCTATAAAGAAGGTAAGCTGAGGACTTCTTCATGTGAGAGGATGACAAAATAAAGCAGAGTGAGAGTGAGGCACACTAAGAGTTGTAATACACTCCCACTCCCAGGCTTTCTCCCTAAGTGGATGTTATGTCTGCAGTTGGCAAGCTGAGGAGAAATAACCAATTGGACTTGAGTAGTCTCGAACCTGGAGCCCAGAAGATGGCTGTAGAGAAGAGCCCCCAGTTGGGGATGGAGGTGGAAGATACAGGGACCTCAAGAGAAATAGTAATGGCAATGAACTGGCTCTGATTTGTTAGTCTTCATTAATGGGTATTTAGCCACTGATCTATCTCAAATCCTAGAATTCAGCAGGCAGCAGTAAGCCAGCATTAGAACAGCTAAAGGCAACCAGATACAGAAAGAGGAAAGATCTATTTCCCCTAGTAACTTTATCAATAGTGTCATATTCCAAGACAGACAATTAAGACAAGGCCTTTGACTAATCATTTTCTTAAGAATAATGACTCCCAGCTATGTAGACTTTCTCTTCATGGAGACAAAAATCCAGAAACCCATTTATAAATTTCTAGCTTGAAGGCTCTTCCCCCTATTGTAGCTTCTTTAGGAAGAAAATGTAGAATTATACCTTATTAAGAAGTTCTTTCAGTTCTTCCTGAGTTTTCACTATCTTCTTCCAATGTTCAATCTGCTCGTCTTTAACATGCTTTTCTTGTAACCTACCAGAGAGAACATGCATGTCCTAGGTACACAGACAGCTCTGCTGCACTAGACAAGTGCCCGTCAAAAGCATTCCAAGACTTTGAGGCCCAATGGGACTTTTAATACTTAGAAACAAGAAAGTTGGCTGGTGGAAAATTACTACCTAGGCTATGTTAAACACAGTAACAATGTCATACAATACAGGGAGTTTTAGAACTGAAAAGGTCCTTAAGGATGTAATTGTTTTAAAGGCTTTTACTTTGGAGTTTAATTTCACGTGAAAGTAAAAACTAGCTCAAATAAGACTACTGAGAAACTTAAAACATAAATAACAAACCTGTAAATGTAATTCAATATACAACAGGTGGTATCAAAGTACTTACTGAATGACAACTTCCAATGCCTGGCCAAGGGACACAGGCTTATTATTGAGGACATTGAAGTCTAGTTGATGACTAAGGTAAGATGTAGCTTCTAGCAACCGGTTAAATTCTTGCTCTACCATTTCATCTTTCTCTTTAGGAACCTGAAAATCCGAAGTATAGCAGAGTTGGTCCTTATAAGACTATAACATAGCCATCCATGAAGACACAAATGCTCTAGAATTTAAACAGATCAAAATATGTATCTCAAAGGGAAAGCCTTTGAGGACAATGATTTTTTTCTTTTCTATGAAGTGGTTAAGTCCATTTAAATGAAATATGAAATGTTTTGGTCCTAATAGTTCCCTCTTCTTCCACTTTTGCCCTCAGAGCTGGGACTTCACCTATACTGACAGCCATAGGCCGTACATGGTGCTAACTGAAGTTACATGGGGCACAAGGTCCACAGAGCTGACATGCAGAGTTGAGGAGCTGGGCTGACATCAGAGGACAAACTAGAAAAAAGTCCCAGAGAACAAAATCTATTTTAACCCTCCTGAGGACCTTCTGTCATAAGGGCAGGATGAGAAATAAGAAGCCCAAATTATGTGCTTCCCCTCAAAGATGATAGAATTTCAGGTGGAAGTACAGAATAGAGAAGGGAAATTCATGCCTATCAAGAACACCCTAGGATCTTTATTATTTTTCAGATCAATAATTTTGGAGTCAAATGTCTTAAGCTCTTAGACTTTAAGTAACTGAGGTACCAGACGGTTTGGCTCCTCATTGCTGTAGACTAAGGGAAGGTTACAAAGCAAGTGATCAAGCTGGACATGTGGCCATGGTCTAGGGCATACCATGTCCTGCCTATGGATACTATGTACCCTTTTGCTTCACTGTGTGAAGCTTCACTGTGTCCCAAAGTAAATTATCTGCCATCCTACTGCTGAATTTGTGGCAGTAATGAGAGAAGCAAAAAGCAGCTGGGCATCGACTGGGAAGTGAGATTCAAAATATGGAATTTCCCTTCAGTCAACCTAAAATTGTAAATAGGAAAACAAAACACCAAAGTAGTTAACATTAAGACCAGGAGGAGTGATCTTCTACAACCAGAGGTAACTGTTGACAGGATCATCACAGTAAGATTCCACTCTTGTTTCAAATTCCTTAGTTCCTGCCCTGCAACTCAACAGATGAGTGTGAAGCACTAGCCTCTGCTCTTCACTGGCCATACAAGTAACTTCACAAGATAAGCTGTCAGGTCACAAAAAGAAGCTGCTGAGAAGTGCAGCACTAAAAAATTAAAATTTAAAAAAAAAAAAGCAAAGTAAGAGGACAGCAGCTTTGTGAATTTGTGATTTCATCACAATCATACTTGAAGCACCAAGTTTTAAAAGACTATATCAGAAGAGAAGAGGACATCTTTATGAATTAGGGAATCATCCTTCACCTACAGAAGATTTAAATTCCTAAGAATCCTCTGGTCTGTGTTGAGAAATGAGATGGAGAATCAGCCTTTGGATGCTCAGTGCCATTGATATGTTAGGATAGTCCTATGACCTGGTGGATCAAAAATATCTGACCCACCCTTTCAACGCCATGGAGTAAAAGAAACTTGGGGTAATGTCCCTATTTGATGACACTCTTGTCGGGAAGTTTATCTACTTTCTTGATTATATTCCCTCACTGATTTGATGGTCATATATAGAGAACTCAAATAACAAAATTCTGCTCAGAAACTTATTTCTAGTGCAACTCCTCCAATGATGCTAAAAAAGAGAGTTATATTAGACTAGTTCTCTCAAAAAGGAAACAACTACATTTCTACAAAGCTATGTCATCTTAGCTGACCAATGATACAATGTGCAAATGTCTTTTCTGCAGTGTAAGAAGCTGATATCTCTATACGTGGCTTCAAAAATGCCCAGCAAGTGACTGTTACAACAGCAAGAGGGACTAGATCACACATGCCTCTACAGGAGGGCAGAATGTGCCACTACGTATATAAGAATGCAAATGGGGCAGATTAAAGCTCTTCCAGTGTCAGCTGGATGGCTTCAGACAAGCTTTAATCTTTGCAACTAGGGTGACAGTAACATAAGGGAGTTCATATTGAGAAGGTATGCAGCACTCAGGCTCAATAACTGGGGTCCAGGGTGTGTGGTAGAGAAATATTTAAAGGGACACTGTCAAGGTTAGAGGGAACAAATTGACCTTTTGTTTCTTCCCTCTATTTTCTAAGCAGCCCACTTGATTCATTACACTTTCCCCTTCAATCCACCCACATTCCCCACAAAAAACTGATGTTTTACATGCGCTTTCAATGACAAAAACTCAAATGGCACCAGCCCAACATATAGGCGCAACTCTACAACAACAAACCAGTGTGAATGTGTGATGAAGAGGATCTTTGAAAAGAAAAGATTTAAGTGTCAAGCTTTTAATGGGTTATTGTAAACAGTGAGGAAAATGATTTGAAAAATTATGAAAAAAATACCTTGACAGTGTCCTTTTAACCAGTGCAGCAGAGAGAGAAATAAACTGTAAATAACAGCCCAACAGCCACATCAAGTTTAGTTTTGTACGACAGCAGTAAAATCAAGGCTTTAAAAACACACAGCATGACAGAAGCATTGTTAGCTCAGAAGCTGCAACCACCAGAGAAATAAGGAACAGACTGTACAGAGACCAAAATGGGAAAGTCAAAAGGTATAGAAATGGCAAAAGAAAGGCAGTTTTAAAAAGGCAAGGAGAGGAGAGGTGTCCGGAAGCAGTGAGAGCAAACCAAAATTCAACGAAAGGAAAAACATAGAACAGTAACAACAAAATCAAACAAAAATCAAACCAAAAGATTACTGCCACATGTGACTGACACCAGATGATAGGACTACATCTCCAGTGCACCCTTCAATCTGAGGCTCAGCTTTAGGAGATGAGGTGAAATAGCAATCAGGCCCACCCATTTTCTGTAAAGTTAAGCAATTACAGGGATGTTCCAAGGGCAGCAGGGATAGCACTGAAGCCTGGGTGTTCTTCCATTAACTTTAAAATTTCAGTTTGAAATTAATGGAATATTTAGAAAATAATAACAAAATACTTGTCCATTCACAAAATAATTCTGACCAGGAAAAAAACAAAATGTGTTTCAATACATTTAAATTTTTAATTCATTTAAAAAATAAGCTAGTTTTAGGGCTGGGGATTTAGCTCAGTGGTGAGGACACCTGCCTCACAAGCACAAGGTCCTGAGTTCAATCCCCGGAATCAAAAAAACAAACAAACAAAAATAAGCTAGTTTTAAAAAATGTTCTGTTAGACATATTCAGACAATGAAAAGAATTAGCAAATGACTCCCCTAAGCACCCCCAACTTGCTGTGTCATTTCTTTTCCTCAAGAAACCTTTGGATTCCATTAGTTCTATAAATAATTATGGGAAAAGAAGAGCATAAAGGAGTTGAAATATTGGCAATCTCAACATAAATCACAATACTTTTACCTGACCATTTTATTCTAGGTCCTTAAAATGCATCCTGAGAAAAGAACTCAACAAAAGGTCACCAAGGGTTAAGCACCATGTTAGAGGTGGATTTCTACATTCCAACACAGTAAGAACTTGTAATAAACTAAGAAGCATTTTTGGTGAAAAGAACAATAATACAGAATCTTCTATTAAAGAAACAAACAAAAAGGATATTACTATGACCTTTCAAAGTTATTTCTTTATGAAAGCCCCAATAAAAATGGTATCTCTCGCATTCTGAGAATCTGATGAGTTTTATTATTCTAAATGGGTTTAACCCTAACTGTTTTGGTTTTGAAAATTACATGAAGCATGCCTGCACATGTCAAGAGAGGGGCAGCCTGTGTGTCCAGCCCATGGGGAATAAATTTAAGGAAAGCCAAATAACTTTTTGGAAAAGGTTCCTAACTTTTGCAGGAAATAATCTCAAAAGAAGAACAGATTTCCTTAGTTCTACACCTGGTTACTTTCTATTACCAAAACCCTTCAAAAACATTTACATCTATCTTACTTCCAGTAAGCTCTCTATCACCAGAGCAGTACGGACTTAAGGGCTGCAATGTTCCAGGTAAAGAAGCTTCTGAGATTTTAGCCAGAGAAATTCTTAGAAGAGTTATGCTGAAAAAAGCGATAATGGCCAAATCTGGCCAATGGAGGGCATAGTTAAATTTTACCTTCCCACTCTCATACCACTGACCACTTCCAGAATTAACAGCGATACAGAAGATTAAGATTAGTTCCTCTGGAAAAAACCAGAAGAAGTAATTTACATTTAAGAGTATCTAATTCAGATTCTCCCAAACAGTCAAGGAAATCAGATGCAGCTATTCTCCCTAAAGGTAGAATAAGGACACTGGGCCTTTGATCCAAGTAAAATTTAGTATGATTCTATAATTGGAGACTGCTGCCCTCTACCCTGACTCCTTTTAACTTATAGGAATCTTCAGGGGATAAAAGTGACTGACGTATTTAAAGCAGTAACTGGGTGTGTAAAGAGGTACACAAAACAGATCTAAGTAGTTCACTTAGCAATTTTTAACATGCAGGAGAGGTGCTCAGTAAATTCCTATTAAATGAATAAATATAGTTTGGAAAAGTTAAGTTAGTACTATATCTATATTTGAGAGCTGAAACTTTGTTTTGTTGTGTTTTTTTTGGTACCGGATATCCAACTCAGGACCTTGGGCTTGCAAGGCAGGCGCTGGAACCACTGAGCTAAATCGCCAGCCCTGAAACTTTGTTTTTGAGACAGGGTCTTGTTATGTAGTTCAAGCTGGCCTTGAACTCTAGATAGCCTAGGCTGGCCTGGAACTCACCATGATCCTCCTGCCTCTGCCTCCTGAGTGCTGGGATTACAGACATGAGCTCTCCCATACCCAGCTAACTTTGGAACTTTGAGACTATTAAAGAAAGGTAGATTTTTATATTTACAAAACACTGGGATTTAAAAGGAGGAAGGGTAAGACTGCTGCAAAGATACTGAGGACAGGGCCAGGGATTTAGCTCAGTGATTTCGCTGCCTGCTGTGCAAGCGCAAGGACCGGAGTTCAATCCCCGGTACCAAAAAAAAAAAAAGATACTGAGGATGTTTCTTCAAAGGAATATGAAAACCAAAAAAACTAACAGACTTGTGCTAAAAAAAATAATAACCTAAGCACCACCCTAATATGACCACAAATGAAAACCTGCTGGGTATTATAGGTGCTGAGTAGAGGTACAATTAAATGGGCTTTGTAAGAGTCCTGGGATCCATCATCTTTCATGCATTATGTTTTCTTTGTAACAGCTACACTAATCCCAAGAAGAAAATCAAGATCTCAGTTTCTCAAAGTAGCTACTGAGTCTTTAGATCTCACTTGGGAGGACACACTCCAAAACCAACCAGGAACCTTGTAATGCAGAATGCTACAGCACCACAGGAATATGATTAAGATAACATTTCCAGGGCGAGGGATGTAACTCAGTGGCACCGTGCCTGCCTGGCAAGTGCAAGGTCCTGAGTTCAATTCCCATTACAAAAAAAAAAAAAAAACACCAAAACTTTTCAATTACTTAAAAAAAAAAAAAAAAGCCAGGCATGGGGTTGCACAGTTATAATCCTAGCACTGAGGGACCCCAGCCTGACAACTTAGCAAGACTGTCTCAAGGGGTGTGGGGGGCACGGCGCATGCACATGCGCTAGATATATAACTCATAGGAAAGGCCCTAGATTCAATCCCCAGTACTGGGAAGGAGGTGGGGGTGGCAATGGCTAAAGCCCCAAGTAATTAGCTAATACACACAAGATGGAGAAATTTCTTCTAGTTCCCCCATCCATGCATATTTCTGCCCCTCACTGTGACTACCAAGATGTTCCTGATATAAATTACCCACTTCCTAACCTTCTCCTTGTCTAGTTAAAGGTGATTACAGGATAGGTCAAAGTATAGCTTCATCTCTCGTAAATCTGTGGGCAGCTGTGGTATTAGCTCCGCTTTTACAGGCTTGGTAAAAGCGGTAAGATATGGGAGATTCCTTCTATTGACAGAGACATCCTTAATATCCCTACAGTATTTTGTTCCTTTATAGGACAGACCTTGTTCTAGTCATCCAGAACTATAAAATTGGGCCGGGGATTTAGCCCAGTGGTTCCGCCACCTGCCTCGCAAGTGCAAGGTCCCAAGTTCGATCTCCGGTACCAAAAAAACAAACAAACAAACAAACAAAGAACTATAAAATAAACTTCCCCTGTCAAAAACAGAACCTCAACATTCTAGCTGTCCACACAGGACCAGAGAAAAGAGTCAGGGTAAACTCTTTCAGGAACTCTTGTGATTGTGATTAAAACAGTATTAATCTAACAAACCAAATGGATATGTGTCTTTAAGTCAGGATTACCACTGATTTTCATAACCATGAGCAAGTGCTGGCCTTATACAGGATGACAGATTTAATTTCTATGCAGTAAACAACAGAACCATGAAATTACCCCCTTTTTGATTCTTTATGTAAAAGAATGGAGAAACACAATCCCATCTTATCTAATAGTTTACTAAAGAAAAATCAATGACTGAGTAAATTTCTATGTGACGTAGGCGCTGCTGGATCCTAGAGGAACTACTAAGAGAAGGTCCTCTGAGAAGGCGACAGCAGACGGAGTCACAAAGGCAGTTGTACATATTCATCCCACCCCATCTTCCAATCAAACATCAGGCAAGTGTAGCAAAACTACTATAGGACTTGAGCAACAAAGAACTTCCTGTGCTTTCTACTATGAGCTCTTCCTCCTTTAGAGAATTCTCTACATTGTCCTCTGCTTCCAATGTCATTCCCTCCCTTCTCACAGCCACAGGCTGCAGTTCTTACGGGCTCCTCATAAATGTTCTCCCCGCACTCTTCCCACCTCCACATACTTTCCTGCTCCCTTAGTTCTTCTGTAGCAATTTGTTCTTTCATCTAATTCTTGGCAAATCTGTCTCAACTTTGTGCTACTGATCTATTTATGGGTGATATATTTGTAGCTTTCTTTAAAATATCTTACACAACAGACAAAAACAAAAAATCCAATAGGAAGAGAACAGGTAAAACAAGACTGAAAAAAATGGAGGTTCATCATAGTATTCTCTACTTTTATGCTTATTTTTTAATTTCCATAATAAAAAATTGAGAAAAAAAATATTTGTGGGTTGGGTGCGGTGGTGCATGCCTGTATTCCCAGTGCTCTGGAAAGCCGAGGTAGGAGGCTGAAAGCTTAAGCCCAGCCTGGGTAACTTAGTAAAACTCTATTTCAGGGCTGGGGATTTAGCTCAGTGGCACTGCAACTGCCTTGCAAGCAGTTCAATTCCTGAGTTCAATTCCAGGTACCAAAACAAAAACAAAAACACAAAAAAAACCCAACTCTATTTCAAAATAATAAAGGTAGAGGTACAGCTTAGTGTGAAGGCCCTGGATTAAAAACAAAATCGTATAGAAGTACTACTAGACTACAGAATGGTTGAATTAATCTTTTAATTCATCCTTTCTCAATCTGTTTATTCTTTTTTTTTTTTTTTGGTACTGGAGATTGAACTCAGGACCTTGCATTTGTGAGGCAGGTGGCGGTACCACTGAGCTAAATCCCCAGCCCAATCTGTTCTTTATTCTGCCAGAAGCCTCCCAAAAGCCCTAGGAGGAAATGGGAATGAAGTGTCCTCAAAGTGTCCTTTCCTGATACCAACCCCATTAAGCCTAATATAGACTAGGAATATGTGAAGATATCCCTTAAGGCCCTTCACACAAAATTCGAGAGTTGGGATCTATCACTTTTAGAAAAGGTAGCTAAGGGCTGGAAATTTAGCTCAGTAGGGGCACGCCTGCCTCACAGGCGCAAGGTCCTGAGTTCGATCCTGGTACCAAAAAAAAAAAAGAAAAGTAGAAAAGGTATTTAAGCCACCATATACAGAGCAAATATTCCCTTCCTAAAAACATAAAGATAACAATGTGCTTATATCCTGAGAAGTATGGACTCTTATTCCAATGGGAATTTTTCTGAATACAAACTTTTGAATTTCACTCACCCCAAAAACTATAGGACTGTTTTCACAATCTAAGCCCATCTCTCAATGATTAAACTACTCTCATTCCTACAGACCAATTAATACTTTCACCCTACTGTGATACTAAGGATAAATTCCTATACCTCTGGTCTACAAATACTTTTTAAATCTATCTATGCATCTGAATAAACACCCCCCACCCAAATTTGGCTATTAGCCCATCAAAAGCTTGAGCCTATAAACACAAAACTGAAGTCACAAAGAGCACATGGAGTTAAAGCACATGATGGGAGGCACAATACAAAGAAATGAAGAATCAAGTTTTGATTCCACAGGTGTCTTGGAAAAGTGGCTACAGCCAAATACAAAGATTATCTATCTACCTAGCCTTCATCAAGTGTCTACTGTATAGATAAATGCATAGACAGACATAAATATGCACATACACAATAATCCTTTCCCATATAGCTCAGAGTTAAGAACAATCAGAAAAATATTGCATTTCTCAGTTTATATTATTTGTGTGTGTGTTCAGTTACACATTCTGCCCAGTTTATTTCCAAGTGAACCAAAGAAATTTTTTAAAGTTCTGTTTGTCCTCAACTTACAGCTTGTCCATTGGCTTCATACAGTGGGCATTTTTGCTTGATCTTGGCCAGTTCCATATTTACTTGTTTGCTGACCACAGCCATGGGATTCCCTCCTAAAAAAAGACTCAAACAATTAAATTCACCATACTTGGGCCGGGGATTTAGCTCAGTGGTTTCGCAGCCTGCTGTGCAAGCGCAAGGACCCAAGTTCGCTCCCCAGTACCAAAAATAAATAAATAAATAAAAAATAAATTCACCATACCTATGAAAAGGAAAATTTTTAAAGTAAAAATACTTTTACTTGAAATTTGAAAAGCTCAAAACTGAAGAGTATGTAAATTATATCTTAAAAATGCTCAAAGTAGGGCCGGGGATTTAGCTCAGTGGTTCCGGCGCCTGCCTCGCAAGCGCAAGGTCCCGAATTTGATCCCTGGTACCAAGAAAAAAAAATGCTCAAAGTAAAAATATGGAAGATAACCATAAAGAAGAAAACAAAAAATTAGCCATAATTCCATGAGTTAACATTTTATTACAGATCCTTCTAGATTTTAGGTACATTAAAATTACGTACTATACCCAAAAAAGAATAACACATGTGTTGTTTTATGATCTTCAACTTAGTAATATATTATAGACACTTAAATGTTACTAGGAGCTACATAATTTTTAGGGGCTATATAGTTCTTACTGTGTAATAATTTAATCTTTTAATTTGTGGTTTTAAATGTTCTGCCATTATAAATAATTCCATAAAAAATCCTCCCAACATAACAAGGTCCACTTGCCTGTTTACTTAGAATGATTTCTTAGAACTGGAAAAAGATAATCCCAGTTCAAAAGATATGTACAACATACACCTTGCACATACTGATGTACTCCTTCCGGAAGACTACTTGGCAATTCATTTCTCACTAATGGAAGAAAAGTACCTGTCATGGTTTGAATATGGTTTTTCTCCTTGAAACTTATGCTGGAGTTTAATCTCCACTATGCAGACACTTAATCCCATCAAGGCGTGTAGAAGTGGGGCTTTTGGGAAATTATTAGATAAAGTCATTAAGGTGGAGTCTCAGGATTTCATCTGGGTGGTTTTGAAAGAGCAAAAAGGACCAGAAGACAGAGACATACATATGTATTTCCTGTCTCTTGCCACATGATGGTGTGTGCCATCTCAGGACTCTTTCAGCAAGGATTCCCTTGACCTTGGACCACAACTGTGAGCCAATATAAACTTTTTCCTTACAACTCACCCAGTCTGCACTGTTAGTGGGAAAAACAACAACAAAAACAAAAAACAAACAAAAAAATCCCAAAACCATGGTACCCCAAACCAATATATTTTAAAATTATCCCTATGGCTTGAAAATGTAAGCTTAAACAATCTTGTGAGTTTTAGACTATGTATTGTAGCAAGAATTACTTACCAAGACCTGTTACTACCATGGCTCCAAGATCTGCTACATAGTTTCCTTTTCGAAATGTAGCAACTCGTCCACCCACTCGATCCTATTAGAAATTAAATGGCCAAAATAATCAATTCTGCTTTAACAACAATAACCTGGCATACCAGGTGCTTATTAGTCTTTCATGATTTAAAAAGAAAGGTTTAGAGTTTACAAGGAGTGCAAGCAATAGTACTGTACAGCCCAGTACAGTGGTGCATGTTACTCAGAAGGCTAAGGCAGGAGGATCACACATTCCAGGCCAGTCTTAGGAAACAAACTTAGCTAGGTCCTGTTTATTTAAAAATAAAAAATAAAAAGGGCTAGCACGTAGTTAGTGGTAAGTGCTTGCTTAGCATGCATGAGGGCCTGGGTGTATGTACACATGCACAATACACTACTGTAGGCACAAACAACAAATGAAGTTTAACCAGAAATTGAGGGAAAGGTAGGTGCTGAGTAACATATAAGAGGTACAGAATTAAACGATGTGATGTGAAATAGTTTCAACAGCCAAAAGACATTGTAGTAAAAGGTACTATTATCATTTTACCCAGCTTTCTCTAATACCTCTTCAAGTACGGGATGCACAAGAGCCACCCATATAGAAAACTCATGTTTACAAATTCCAACATCAAATACTAATACTAACTTTCTACCACCATGACATGACTCGTCCCCTCAATGCTTATAGTCAGCCGTGATTTTTCCCCCTAGATGGGTCTCACTATGTTGCCCAGGCTGATCTTGAACTTCTGGGCTCAACTGATCCTCTTGCCTCGGCCTCCTGAGTAGCTGGTACCACTGGTGTGTACCACTAACCTGGCACAACTGTTAATAATCTGATTTCTCTGACAAATGGTTCTCTAGTGCAGCCCTATGCCCAGGGGTGGAGTTCACAGAACATGTAACACTGAAAATACATTTTGTCCCTAAATAGTCCATAGAGACTTTCAAGTATAGGAAAACCTTACTGAGTTGTAGTTATAATTCAATAATTGTGTATTCTTAGTATGTACTACACAGAGGGCACACAAATATTTTTGAATTAACAAAACATTATTTTTAGTAAGATATTAGGAAAATATTCAATTTCCCTAGTTTCTATTTTAAAGTATCTTAAAAATTTGCAGTTTATGAAAAGTAATTTCAATTGCACTGTACACAATATTTCAAAACTTTTATAAAATTTTAGATTCTTTAGTTTACCTAATAGGTGGTGTGGTGTGGTGTGATTTGGTTTTAATGGTGGGAGTTCAGGAAGACTAAGCCACTGAAGGACAATTAAATTCTAAAAGTTATTCATGAAAATAATTTTCCTACTAGCATCCTAATATGGTGCTCTTTGATCCACAGTTATAAGGTCAACCCCTTTCTCCTTTGGTTTCCATTTTTCTCTCTAGGATTAATAATTAAGGAAACCAAAATCTTGGCCTCATTAGGGCCTAAAGATGGTTTCTGCCTGATATCAAATAATTCTTCTTTGACTATCAACCAGGGAACACAATTCACCACTGCAAATAATTGCCTCCAACAAACAGTAAATCCACAAAGGCCCCAAATTTGAGAGCTAACCTCAAGAAATAATGCCCTGAAAATATCCAGGATGTCTGGATTCCTTACAAACTTGAAATACTCAATGAGCACTTTTCAAAGCTTTACTGTCAAAAGTGCTTCATCCAGGGGCTGGGGCTGCAGCTCACTGGTAGAGCACTTGCCAGCATGTAAGACCCTGGGTTTGATCCCAGTACCACAAAAAAATACTTCATTCACTATAAATTAGCAATATAAAAAATATTGTGCATAGTATACAAATCAATTTGGGTGAGTTCAAGATATACAATTCCTTAATCTATAACAGATAATTTCTTTTACCATATTTCCACTGGGTCAGCCTAATAAACCCAAAATAAAATTCTTACCCTGGCTTCCAGAAGTGTGACATCCATTCCAAAACTTTGTAGTTGTCGGGCTGCTGCCAAGCCTGAGACTCCAGAGCCTATAATAATTACCTTTCCTGTCTTTTTAGCTAAAAGCAAAAAACGAACAAAAATCAGAATATTTTGTTAGAATTTGTTGAGATTTATTTCCCCGTATGAAAATCTCTGGGTTAACATATCGTTATGCATTAAAAGTAAAAAATTTAGTTATTTTCAAAATATGGAAACAACTGGAAAACTCATTAACAAAAATTTTTCTAATTTTTAAAAATGGTACTGGTGCTGGAAGCCAGGGCTATACACATGTAGACAAGTAATCTATCACTGAGCTACACTCCCAGCCAACTGTTGAACACATTTATAAATCAAATTCATTTCCTTGAAATTTACTTTCTCCTTATTTTCAATAATGTTTCAGTATATGTGATCCTTAATATATCATGACTGATTTGCTCCTCTTAATCAAGAACTGTACTAGGACATATTCTGGGTATAAGATATTTCCTTTAAGATGTACTTCTCTGCAGTCTTAAATCAGTATTCCTTTTTTGAAGAATTAAGGCATTAAAAATAAATGTATCCATTCTCAAACTATCCCTGACTCCTTGATCCCTGGCAGACATAACCCAAACATTATGAAAAAAACCCCCAAACAAACAGCATCAATGAGAGAAAAACTTTCAACCTCCTGCTTGCAAAACTGCTAATTTTTAACAATCTGATCTTTTAAACTCTGATCTTCTAAAACTTGGAAATCTAATCTTTTCTAAGTGCCTATGAAGCTAGAAATTAAGAGAAATGTGTATTTAAAGATTTTGTTTTAAATTTGACTTACAGTATAAACTTGAGAATATTTTGACTAAATAAGTTTATATATCAAAATAAAATGCTAACAATATCATGGATACAAAATACAGTCCTGGAATCATAACTTAAAGCTATTAAATTAATTGGCCAGGTAGGTTCTTACTTGGTAAGGGTTTTATCCTTTTATAGATGCCAAAGTTGATAAGACCATGACGCTCTAAATAACTGTGAACTCGATGGACAAGCACAGTATCACCTATAAGATAAATGAATTTTAAAATGTTTGTATTTGCAAAACTTTAAACAGAAAACCCTGAAAAGAAATCATGAAGTCATTCTACACGTTCCCATAAACTTCAGGTCATATGACTCCTTTAGAAAAGTGATTCTTATTCTTCTCTGAGATAGTCCAAAATGTGTATCACATTATTCGAAATGTTTTAGAATGACATTCCAGTACAGATGATACGGGGAACAAACCTTTGTAAGGTAGTTATAATGCTCACTCATATTAGCCAAAACTTTCTAAGACTGCTAATGGCCAAGGAGGAAATAAACCCAGACAGCTACCAAATCAAGTTCCAAAGTAAAACACAGATCAAAGTCAAACAAGTCTAGGAAAATTTGGAAATCTCTTGAACTCATCTGTCAATACAATTTAAAAACCAGAAAACAAAAACACAGAAAATAGGCTAATTTTTGCACTGCACAGGGTAAAATTATATGTACATAAAAATGAAAAAATTACAAACATGAAATTCCTGGAAAAAATTAATAATTTTTTTTTTTTTAAAGAGAGGGCTGGTTTTTTATTTCTTTGTTTGTTTTTGGTACCGGAGATCGAACTCAGGACCTTGGCCTTGTATGGCAGGCGCCGGAACCACTGAGCTAAATCCCTGGCCCTAAAATTATTAATTTTTGCAATCTGGTCCAAAATTAGTCCCATCAAACATACTACTTACTGTTATAAGGCGCTTCTAATTGTTGGAGAGTAGCCTCAAATGTCAGCTGAATCTTTGGATTATCCAACCACAACTGTAACTATATTTAAATAACATAAATCGTATTACAAACAAATAGACATATCATTTAACCATCTGTAAAATCACCTTTCCAAGTTAAGACTTCAAATACGAGTTTTACTCAGGGAGGGGAATATTCCTAACAAAGGAATATAAAACTTGTGTTTCCTGATGAAACACAAAACTGCACCAGGTGAGTGGAGAAGCTAGGGATATTTAACCTAAAAAGAAAAATTACCTAGTAACTTGCCAAGATCATATAGTTACATGGCTGGGTTACATGACTCCAGAGATGCTGAGTGGATAAAATCCATACATACTAATGATCAATTAGATATACAGACATGAGAGAGAAAGGTATTATGGGTAATTTCTCACTTTTTTGTTTGTACAACTGAATTAGTTGTCATCACTGAATGAGGTCACTGAAATTAGAAATGAGACAAGTCTACTACTACAGTAACTAAAATAGGCAGCTTAGAGGAGGTAACATCTGGTCATCTGCTTATGAGCGAGAACTAAAGCCAAATGTGCAGAAAAGAGCTCCTTCAGTTCACATAATGGCTGGTTGTTAAGGATACACACACATAGCAATTAAAGAGAACAACCAGGAAGGTGGGATAAAATCAGAATACAGTATCAATGAAGACAAGGGAATGATATGTTTAAGAAAGGAGCAGTTAAAGCTGGGTGTGGTGGTGCACACTTGTAATCCCCGCACCTGGACTGACTGACTTGGAAGGATTTAAAGTTTGAGCCTAGCCTGGGTTACTTAGTGATTTTGCAAGACTCTGCCTCCAAATAAAAAAAACAGAAAAAAGAGGCTTGGGATATAGCTCAATGCAAAGGCCCTGGGTTCAACACCCAGTACGTAAAAAAAATAAAGTCAATTATTTTAAATACTGCTGAAAAAGCGTAAGATGAGGAATCAAAAAATACCATGGTACGGCTAATGTGCTTTAATAGGAAGTCTTTTCAGAGTGAATATATATATTCCTGTTTTATACAGACACACAGACACACACACACACAATGCTAGACAAACTACCATATTTAAATCTTACCTAAATATTAATAAAGACTGCTCCACGGACAAGGTTTCAACAAAGGAGTTAACTTGGTTACACATAAATTAAGTTATAAAGGGATATGAGCAGATCAATATGGACACTCTATTCTCTGAGGCTACTGTCAAGGGAAAATGAATTCTTCACATTCAGTGTGATCAAAATATATGATGAATTTTTATTTTTTATTTTTTTTTGATACTGGAGATCAAACTCGGGACCTTGCACTGTAAGGCAGGTGATGGCACCACTGAGCTAAAACCACGGTCCTGGAATCAGCCCGCTGCAGACAGGCAGGTCTGTGGACGCCCAACAAATCAGCCCAAGCCCTGGCAGCAATCCACTGGACAGCCCCGCCACCCCCCGGCCTCTTCTCTGTACAGCCACCTGGTTCCACACTACAAAGACGCAGAGGACACCGGACCACCAGACCACTGTACTGGGTAAGTTGGAGTCATCTTCACATCCCATCAGGACCGGGTCTATCTTCGGGGGAAGGGCAGCTGGAACCTGCAATACAACTCTGCAGAGTTCAACCCTACAGGAGGACAGGGAGCTCAACCTGGGACTTGCAGTCAGAAATCTGACTGAATCTCATGGGTCTGCGACTAGCTTGCTGAAACTCATTGTCTTATATTTGCACACTGCTACCCACGTTGTCTATTGTGACAGCAGAGACATACCCTGAAAGAGGCCCTACATCTTCACTGTTTTATTTTTATTCCCAAAATTAGTATTATTAGTTTGGTTTTTTTTCTCTTTTCTTTTGCTCCTCTTATCTTTAATTTTTTTTCCTACTCTTTGCAAATATTTGCTTTTCTCTCCTTTTTTTTCCTTCTTTCTTTTCTCTTTCCTTTCTCTCTTTCTTGCTCTCCCACATTGTTCATCTTTCCTTTTTTGTCCCTGTTTTGGTCCTCATTCGGAGTTCTTCTTTATTTTATTATTATTCTTTTCTTCCTTCTCACCTGTGTCCTCTGGCCACACTGCTAACCTTCCCCTATCCTTCTTCCCATCTGTCCCTCCCTCCCCAACCCCTTCTAACTCTCCATCCCAAAGGGTAAAGTTGTTATATTGAAGAGTTTATTCACTATATGTTGGGTTGGTCCTCCATCTTGATTTAATTCACTCAGCTAAAGGTGATAGATTAATAACTACCACAAAGTGTCATTTTCGAAGACGTACTTGATGCATTAGTGTTGCTGATTGTATCACTTGGGCTAAGGTGTTGGTATTGATCTAGTCAATGAACCTTCCTAGTATAAGGAAAATGAGATAGCCTTAGAGTCATTAGAGACTCAAAACTTAAAGACCAGCTATATCTGGAAGACACCTAAGAAGCAATCATTCCATAAGGGTTCTAATTACAAGCAACAAAGATACCTATAATAAGCAATTTCAAACTATCAACCCAGGAGTTAAACCAAGGACAATACCAAAAACAAAAATGAGAAGACATTTAAGCAAGGCACAAACTCAGACTTCCACCCAACCAAGGGTAAATCCTGGGGGAAAAGAGATGGAAATGTCCCATAACCAACCACTTGGATACCCTGGAACTGACAGCACAGGAAGTAAAACAGATGAATGAGGCTCTAGAAAAATTCAAAGCAGAAATAATCTCCCAGATAGCTACAGAGATGGTGAGCAGAGTGAAAGACATGATTAGAGGCTCTAGAACAGAAACTGATAAAAAAATAGATGAGCTCAGAAACATGCTGGAAACCACGAATACCCAGCATAAGAAAGAAATGGAAACTATGATGACCCAACATAAGAAAGAAATGGAATCCATGAAACAGATTCAAACAGATATTCAGGAGATCAAAAACTCCACTGAAAGTATCCACAGCAGATTAAGGGAATCTGAAGATAGAATATCAGATATAGAAGACAGGATTGCGGTTAGAGACCATGAAAATAGAGATTTCTTAAAAATAGTAAGGGACCACGAGAAATCAATCCAACAACTGCTAGATGATGCAAAGAAGAATAACATAAGACTGACAGGAGTCCATGAAAAAACAGGAAAAAGCACAACTGACACAAAAAAAACTGTTCACAGAAGTAATAGTGGAAAACTTCCCAGACAAAGGTAGAGAATTGGACATACAGATAAGTGAGGCATATAGAACTCCAACTAGCCATGATCAAAAAAAATCTACATCTAGACATATAATAGTCAAGATCCCAGAAACCCAACAGAAAAACAAAATCCTACAAGCAGTTAGAGAAAAGAAACAAATCACCTACAAAGGAAAGCCCATCAGAATCACAGCGGACTTCTCAATACAAACCCTCAAATCAAGGACAGCCTGGAGTGAAGTATTTCAAGCCCTAAAAGAAAATAACTTCCAACCTAGACTGTTGTATCCTGCAAAATTATCTTTCAAAATCGATGGGGAAATTAGATACTTCCATGACAAAGAACATCTGAGAAATTTCATGAACACCAAACCAGAACTACAAGCAATTCTAAACAATATCCTAGAAAAAAGCAATGAAGGCCACAACTCCATGAGGCCCAACAGAGGGAAGCCACCAAGCAAGGTAAGACACTAAAGGGAAAGGGGGAAAAAAATAAGGAATAAAAGAGCCAACAAAAGTAAAACATCATGACAAGGATAAATCAATATCTATCAATTATAACTTTCAATGTTAATGGCCTCAATTCACCAATCAAAAGAAATAGATTGGCAGAATGGATTAAAAAGGAAAATGCAACAATATGCTGTATACAAGAAACACACCTAACTCAAAAAGCAACTCATAGACTGAAAGTAAAAGGACGGAAAACAGTTCTCCACGCCACAGGAACCCAGAAGAAAGCAGGGGTAGCAATCTTATTTGCAGACAAGGTAGATTTCAAACCAAAACTAAGAGAGACAAAGATGGTCACTACATCCTTGTGAAGGGAACAATCCAAGAGGAAGAGATGACAATCCTAAACAGATATGCACCAAATATGAATGCCCCCAACTATACAAAACAAATATTAATAGACATGAAAAAACCAAATAAACACTAACACAATTGTAGTGCGGGACCTCAACAACCCACTATCACAAGTAGACAGATCATCTAGACAAACAGTTAACAAGGAAATTCTAGAACTGAACCAAACCATTGAACAAATAGACTTAATAGATGTTTACAGGGTTCCACCCCACAAAATCGGAATACACATTCTTTTCGGCTGCACACGGGTCATTCTCCAGAATAGACCACATGCTAGCTCATAGGACATGTCTCAGTAAAACCATGGCCCTGAATTTTTAAATTTTAAAAAATTTATAACAGTAAAATATATACTGCCATAAATCCTCAAGACATTCCCCCTTTCCATTTCAAACACTTCAAATCCCATCATTCTTACAAGTGTCCTCTTTCATACGTATTATGATGGAGTATGATAAAAAAATACAGAGAATGCTGCTGCTGTTACCATCCAACAGAAAGGCAGCTTTATAAAAACAATACAGTGTCTCCTCATGTACCCTATTCATCAGATCTGGTACCATGCGACTTCTGGCTCTTTTCCAAAGTCAAAATGACCATGAAAAGTAAACATTTTTAATCAATTCAGGACATTGAGGCAGCCACAACAGTGCGACTAAACACACTCATGAAAGAGGACTTCCAGAACTGCTTCAGAAAGTGACAAGAATGATGGGATTCGTGTGTCTGAAGTGAGTGTTCTGAGGAGTAATGATGGCAGTGTGTCTCACTGCAATAAATTTTAACATTTACTGTATTTTTCAATCACATTGACCCAAGCATCAACCCTCACACCAAACTTCTTCCTTCCATCCTATCAAATGGAGCTCAGGTCAGATCTTGCAGTTCAATAATCTTAATGCTATAGTTTTAAAACTGGGAGGCAAAATACATATTTTAAGATTAGAGAACGGATACAATTCTTACAGAAGAAAATGGCTTACTTATATTCTGATTT